CTGCTGAGCATGGAATGCAACACAGGCCTCGATCTCAAGACCCTGAGGTCATGACCTGAGCCAAAACCAAGAGCCTGACACACTCAACTGACTGAGCCACCCAGGCGCCCCCAGGGAAGGATTTTTCTTTTTTTTTTTTTTTAAAGATTTTATTTATTTATTAGAGAGAGAGAATGAGAGCCAGAGAGCACGAGAGGGAAGAGGGTCAGAGGGAGAAGAAGCAGACTCCCCGCTGAGCAGGGAGCCCGATGTGGGACTCCATCCCGGGACTCCAGGATCATGACCTGAGCCGAAGGCAGTCGCTTAACCAACTGAGCCACCCAGGCGCCCAGGGAAGGACTTCTTAAAGAAGACCTGGAAAGCTCTAACCACGGGAAAATAACACATTTGACAGCAATACAATTAATGAAGAGCTCTTCACCTGAGTGGAAGGACAAGCCACACGAAGCTGACAGAGGCCTTTGGTCCAGAAAGCATGAAGGAGGCCAGGAAGCAGAAGATAGCCCAAGAGAAAACGGGGAGAGGCTTGCATAGGCATTTCGAAGGAGTAACATAAATAAGTACATGAAGAGGGAGACAGGGAAACCACAGGGACACCCATTGAACCCATCAAAAATATTGAGTGTCTGACAAAGCCAACCAAGCCAGTCTGAGGAACAGTACAAGCATGGTCGGAGCATCCTGTCCGTACACCCGCCCGGAAACACCAGAAATGCCCTTGAGGCGGGGGATGGGGGGTCCCTGGCGGAATGAAGCACCCACACCAACAGGAGCCCTTCCCCGGCTGTGGTACCCACACAGCGATGCACTTGTGTCGTGTTCAGAACCATGCAAAGCCGGGCAGTGTGTTCTCTGGGGACAGACGTGTGTGGTTGAAACACCAGAGAAAGTCACAGAAGGAAAACGCAGCTCCAGCAGCCTCGGGAGGCACCAGAGCGGCCGTTCCTCGGGCTCAGGAGTCTGTGCCTGGGCATTTACTGTTTTCACAACATAAAGGAGACATCGGGTGACCTTTTTTGTATGTGCCCTTAAAGAATGATTCGGAATTTGCATAGCAAAAGATTTCCAGTAAAGTTCTGGGAAAGTGGGACAATAAGACTGCAGGTGGAGGGCAAATTGCGGAGCAACGTGGCCGCACGGCGCTGGGAGAAGCAGGTGGCGCTGAGGACTCGGGCAGGGAGCCCTGGAGGGTGGTGTCTGTCTCTGGGGAAATGAAGGAGCAGAGTGGATGCTGGGACAGCCCCTTGGCTATGGTCCCAGGAGGGAGGGTGGAGGGGTTCCAGACTCTGGAAGCAGGAGGGGGAACACACGGGGAAGAGGGAGGCTTCAAGAGGCTTGTGGACCACGAAGGCACTTTCACTGGGGACACACAGGGCCGCCTGCCCCACTCAGTCTGCTGTGTGCCTCCCTCCAGTGTAAGTGCCCCAGAAGCTGAGTGACCCCCCCCCCAACCCCGGGTGGGGCAAGGAGGGGAGCCGGCAAGGGCATGAGTAACACAGGCCACGGGGGGCAGTGGACAGCCAGTGAAACCCCTGCCCCTGGTATTCCCCTGCTCAGATGCAGCCACTTCCCCCTCACCAAGTCCTGGATGGCACCATAGCCCCGGCCAGGAAGGGGGCTCCGCGTTCAGTCTGGCCTCCGGGGCTTCCTTGGAGCCTTGGGGCACTGGGAAGAAAGAGGGCAGGCTGGTTGCCCACTCCATGGTGGAGGGCAGCCTGTGACCCAGTCCCCGTTCTACCTGCCCCTCTCTGTCCTGGGGTTGGAGCAGCCACAGAGCGGGGCCCTCCTGAGGTTCTGCAGGGACCCTGCCTGCTCCTTGGGGGAGATGTTTCTCATTGCACGTGGGTGGGACCAGGGTGCATGCAGGTTTGCACAGTGGAGCCAGCAGAAATGGGCAGAACAGGGCAGGAGCTGAAGCAGGGAGAGAGATGTGTGGATCCCAGAGATTGGAGACTGGACTCGGGTTAGCCAGAGCCTGCAAACCTCCACCCAGAGTGAGTGAGTGAGTGAATTCAAGGGGTTGGGGGGGTTGGGGGGAGGGAGCAGTTCCCAGCAGCCAGGGCTTGTGAGCTGTGTGGCACAGGTCCACTTCCCCTCAGAAGGGAGGGGACTGTCACCTCCTTGATTCCTCAAGCAGCTGGGCTCTGTGGGTGGGGGTTACCTCCCTCCAGGAGGACACACACACCTAGATATTCCTAGATGTAAGGTCTGGGTCACTCCGGGCGGCCTCTCCATTCGACACAGGCTTCCCATTAGCAGCAAAAACCCCTCAAGTGTCCCACATCTAAACGAGAAACCACTCCTGGACACGCTCCCTACACGCTCCCCATCCTGTCACCGTGGAGAGCCTGAGCCCTGGCATGCTGCTTTGCTCCAGCCTGGCTGCTGGGAACATTTGTACACAAATTTTTGTGTGGACGTGTTTTCATTCTTTTTGGGTAAATACCTAGGGCTGGATTTGCTGCATCACGGGAGTTCATGTAGGTCTAACCATGCAACATATCTCAGGCCCATAAGGACAAATACTGCATGGCTCCACTTACGTGATGTACTTAGTCAAATTCAGAGACAAAGTAGGATCTGGGGCAAAGGAGCAAATGGGGAGTTAGTGTTTAAAGGAGTGAGTGAATTCCTGCGTTACTTGTTTTATGGTGAGACTGTAAAGCCTTGACATTTTAAAGACTCTGCACATTCCACTGACTCTTTACAAGTTCTGCCCCAAATCCAGGAAGTTGGTGAGCACCTGGCTATATGGTCTTTGTGGTCCCCCAAAGACTCTGAACCATTACCAGCTGCAGGGGGAAGGAATATGAGACCACATGACCTTAGGAGCTGAAGAAAGTTCGACAACTCGAAGGCCCGTCTGGAGCAGGTTTGAGTGGTAAAGGCAGGTCCAGCATCTGTGTGAGGGTTTGACCCTTCCTCTGAGGAGGACGAGAAAGGCTGAGGAGGCTGTGGAGATTGGAGACGATAAGAGGCGGGTGGCGTTCATAAAAGGGTGCAAGCACCTTAGCAATGGGAAAAAGCAGTTTGAAAGTGAGGGTCAAGAGCTTTAGCTGAAGCTTAAGAAATAAGAGAGTCGTATGAAAGAAAAAAAAAAGCCTGCAACTTCCCAGGAAGTGTGCTCTGAGGCCCTCTCAGAGCCTCAGGTTGCAGTGGGGCGAAACCTCAGCCCTGTGGTGGAAGGACTGGACGCCTAAGGAGCCAAAGGTCTCCGAGAATTCACGGCTGGGGTGGGGGGTGGGGGTGTTAAATCCAGATGATTTTCCTCGAGGGCAGATAAAAGACTTACGCTAATTTGGTTGAATACTCACTCTGCCAGGGCAAACCAAAAAAGCAACAGCTTTAGGAAAGAAAGAGCTCACCAAGGACCCCAAATTCACTGAAGTATATTTCTGACCCTTAACAAAGGAGCTGCATGCCCAGATGTTCCAAACTCAGCACTTGGCAGAGGCCCCAGGAGACCAGAGGATCCACAGAAGTTTAAGGCTTTCTGTGACCCCTACCATTTCAGGAGGGGTGTGTGCGGGTGCTAGGCCCACCTACGGATACTTACAGATTTGGATCTGGACGCCTGGGGAGAGGCTGAGTCACCTGCAGTCACAGGGCTGGCTCCGGGCAACGCCCTCCCACCCACCTCCCAACTCTGCCCTCCTCACGTGATTTCTTTTAGAACATCAGCCCTTTGGAGGCAACTTTGACCCAGGGAGGATTCTGCAGTGTTTTGCAGATATAGACGCACCGGCAACTAGTTTGAGTGCTGCTGTATTAGCAAAGACTTTAGGGAATGACACAAACTTGTGAGCAGGTTTGGGGGCAGCAGGTCCCACCCTGCAGGGCCTCTGGCCTCCGGCTCAGGGGGGGATGAGCCCGCATGGAAGCGCTGGGCATGGTGGGCAGGGGAGCACTGACTCTGAGACTGAGGGTCCCCATGTTCTTCAGATGGCTTTAAGAAACAAGCCTGAGGAATCCGCCCGCCCACAGTGCCCCCGGTGCCACCACCCATGTCTTGCCCGGCTCTTTCCTGTGACCCTTGAACTCTTTTGGATATCTGAGATGCTGTCAGATTTATCCCAATGCAAAACAACCGGAGGGGTGGTTTTGATAACAGTACAATGCTCCTGGCCGGGGGTTCTCCATCAAGAGAAAGAACTTATCTGAGACAAGGGATTAGAGCTGCCACCTGAGTCAGCCTTTGTGGGGAGGGTGGGTCTGTGGGTGGGTCTGTCCCCAGCCCCTCCCAGCACATCCGGAGCTCTGTGGCCTTTACGGGCTTCATTATCTCTGGGGCCTCAGTTTCCCCACCAGGTAAGGGAGAATGTGCAACCTGTTTTCTGTCCCACAGTCAGGTGAGCGCAGACTGGGCTACGGGAACAGCAATACTGCCAAAGGGAACTGCCCCGGGGCCGGAGCGGCAGGTGTATTCGGCACAGGCATCCAGGCGAGGCCTCAGGGCCGGGTTGGTGAGTTGCCAAACTCTTCTGCCCGGGCAGTGGTGCTGGAACCCAGTCACTGCCCGAGGGGAGCGGGAAAGACTTGCCCACCCTCCTGCAGGCTTGGCCAGAGCCAGGAGGGACAAAGACACCTGCCCTGACCAGTGGTTCCTCCTTGCACCGCCTGCCTGGGGCTGTAAATCTAACCTATTAAAGCAATAAAAGAGCTGGTTCCAAAGTTTATCCCTTATGATGCCAGTTTTTGGAGGGAGTTCCCCTAATAGGATGTAGCCGATTGGGGGGTATCTGGTTGAGGAAAAAACAATGATGAGCAGCACAAAAACATTTCTGCATAGAAATTAGCTTGTCTGGCCCTCCGCTTTGTGTGCCGCTGGATCCAAGCTTCATTGCTTAAAAAAAAAAGAAAAGAAAAGAAAAAAAGAGTTTAATAATTACCTTTGTTGACCTCTGTACCTTCTGGCTTCCTTCACTCCTGGGCACAAGACATGGCCATTCCTGGGTGCGACCGTGCAGACGCGCAGACGCCTCCAGCAGCCTCGCCGGGCAGCTCCCTGGACCCCGGGAGGGCAAGAAGCAGGTAAGGCCGAAGGGCGATGGGAAGGCTCTGCACTCTCCCAGCTAGGGCCTGGGAAAGACTTTATTTAGAGAAAGGGTCCAGGAATGACCACCAACCAGCTGAGCCTGGAGCTGATTCTCCCCAGCATCGCATGGCTGGTGTCACTTGGTGCAGAAGCATCCTCGCTATGGGTCTGTCCCGCTCCAGGCACCTTCATCTTGGGAAGTGATCATGGGGAAAGCATTCCTTCCTCGGACTTGATTCCACTAAGGATATTCCAGGATGTTTAAAAATACTTTTTACTTTTGGGAAAAAAAGGAGTTGGAGGTAGAATGACTTTGGGGCGTGTCGTTGCTGGTGGGCAGGAGCTGACAGCTCAGGCCCCCGGGGGCTGCGGGGTGGCTGGGAAAATGCACAGGAGCCCCCTGCCCCCCCCCCCCCCCCCCCCCCCCCCCCCCCCCACCTGTGGTGGTCCTGTGGGTTGTTAGCCCCAGGAATGAACAGATCATCCCAAAGGGGTCGACAAGGGCGCTTCCCGGAAACAGTAGCTAAGAAGCTGCTTTTGGAGCCGGTCCCCATGGGGCCAGGAGGGTCATCCAGGAGAGTGAGCCAGAATCGCGCTGGCTGAGCCCGGGTCTGCGTCTCGTCTGCTCAGCATGTGCTGAGTCAAGGCCCCTGCTCTCCTTGCAGCCTCCTAGAACTGGTGGGAGGGAAAAATGGAGGAGACAAGCCTGAGAAACAGGAGAGAGGATGAGAGGTCCGTCCAGAGCATCCAGAGTAAGGAACCCAAGACCACAAGTCTCCAGAAGGAGGTAAGGCCGTCCCTCGGCACCGGCCCTTCCCAGGTCAAGCGCGCTAAGCAGCGGTCCCAGTGAAGACCCCACTGATCTCTGATTTGTAAAGCACATCTCAAAGCAAACAATTCCTTGGACTTACCTCTTTCCTTCTGGCCAATGAATTCAGCATTTTCCTGCGAGGTTAATGCATGTGTGTTTCTGTGAGCCGGGCGGGTGCCTGGAGGGGCTGGTGTTTGCTCAGACCCATGGCCTCGTCAGGGATGGTCAGAGAGGACCTTCTGATGTTGGGGTCCCCCCCCCCCCCCCATAGCATCTTCACCAAGTATCTGCCCCTTGTGCCTTGTATTCCTTCAGTGGTGGGAAACTCGTTCCTTTTTAGTGTCTAGCAGGGGTAGCGAGTGTGACATGGGTGTGATGTGATGATCCCTGAGATGGAATGTAGTAGTGGCTTGACTTGGAGGTGCCTGCACCCCAGAGGGGGCCCCTGTCACTCAGGGCTGGCACTGGGGCTGCAAGGAAGGGGAGCTTTCAGGCGGATAGGCATGGAGGGTCAGCTTCAAGCTCACAGGATGAGATCAGGATGGCTTTGAGGGCCTGACAAGTGGGCTAAGCCTTGGGCAGAGCCTCCAAGAACTCCCCTGCCTGGTGGCAGAAGAGATAGAGGAGGGATTTGGGGCATGGCATGGCTTGGCTGTGGGTTGGCCTGGGATCTGGGTTCCCTAGGAGTTGACTAATGGGTGTTGCTGCCCACTGAAAAGCACAGAGCTAACCCCAGGTATGTCCTCAACTCATCCCTAAAGCTGGGCAGCTTCCGGCTGAATGCAGACCTCAGTGGGAGGAAGGATTCGGGAGGGCTCCCAGGCTGGTCAGCTAAATGGGCCATTAGAGGAGAAAAGCCGACTGTCCTGCTAGTGTCCTGCTAGGGCCCTGAGGCCAGAATGGGCCCTGACCCTGCTCCCGGGGCCCTCCCCAGTTGTGTGTGACCCTTGCTGTCAAGCCACAGCTGGAGTCTTCCTTGTTCACTGGGCTCTAACCCTGAGCACAGCCTCTGCCCAGATAGGTGAGCGTGTATGTTCACCTCGGACTTCAGAACTCAGGCCTGGTGGATGCTGAGGGCTGATGCTGTAAGTAGGGACCCGAGTCACACATTGTCTCCCTTTAAAAAAGTTTTTTCTCTTAATTCATGTATAATTTATATACAAATCTTCAGGGTTCAGTTTGATGAGTTTTGACAAACTGATCACTCTAGAAAATTCCCTCTTGCCCCTTCCCAGGCGGGCCCCCCCAGTCCTGAGTTTCCATCCCTGTAGGTTAGTTTTGTCTGTTTCTAAATGTCAGGAATGGAACTATATGGTTTGTGTCTGAGTCGGGGCTTGTTGGTAGGAAGCTCACACCCTGCAAAATGGCATCAGAGAAAGTTCACGGCTTTGGAATGTTCCTGTCCCTGGAGGCCTCGGTTTCTCCCCGTGCCCCCGCCTCTGCTCCTTGCGAGGCCCCTGGCCCAGACCAGAGCCCTGACGTCATTGTTTGCTAAACCAGCCTTTAGAACCGTCTGGGCCGCTTTGTCAAGTGCAGTCAGGGTAGAGGTCGGGAGCATGGAACCTGAGCTGGCTGTCCAGCCCTGGGCAGTAACGTGACCTTTCTGTGCCTCCGTGTTCTCCTCTGTAAAATGGGGGTGACAAGGGCATACCCACACGAGGTGAGGATGAATGAACTTGACGTGAGCTAAGCTGGGTGTTTACTGCTACAGTGCTGGCCAGAGGCACCTGGGCCGTGGGGCTTGCCTGGGCTGTGCTGGCCACACCGAGGCAGGGGAGCGGGGAGGCAGGGCTGTGTCATTCTGTCAGAGCTGCATGCGGGGCGGCTGCACTAACGCCCCTCCCCGCTCCCCACGTCCCAGGTGGGCCTGCTCAGCGGCATCTGCATCATCGTGGGCACCATCATCGGCTCTGGGATCTTCATCTCCCCCAAGTCTGTGCTCAGCAACACGGAAGCCGTGGGGCCCTGCCTCATCATATGGGCAGCCTGTGGAGTCCTTGCAACACTGGGTAATAAAGACGCCCCTCCCTGGCGAGCTCTCCCGGTGGTAGGTGGGGATGGGCTATACGGGCACCCTCTGTGCCCCGGCCTGGCCGTTGCTGGGGTCCCTACCAACACCCGTGCCGCTGGTGTAGATCGGGCTGCGCTGAAGTGAGCTGTGGCCAGAGCTCAGGGGTCTGACGAGAGAGGCGGGGTTGCCCCGTGATCACAGCCCCAGAGGGGAGGGGGCTCCCTCAGACCAGGGCAATGCCTCACCAGGGACCGCGGGGCCCCTTCCTTTCTGTGTTCCAGGGGCCCTGTGCTTTGCGGAGCTTGGTACGATGATCACCAAGTCGGGGGGCGAGTACCCTTACCTGATGGAGGCCTTCGGGCCCATCCCTGCCTACCTCTTTTCCTGGACCAGCCTGTTCGTCATAAAGCCCACATCCTTCGCCATCATCTGCCTCAGCTTCTCCGAGTATGTCTGTGCGCCCTTCTACTCAGGCTGCAAGCCCCCCCCAGTTGTTGTGAAATGCCTGGCTGCCGCTGCTATCTGTGAGTCCCCGAGTGTGATGCCTTGGGCAGGGGGCAGGAAAGCCCTGCCACGGGTGCGGTGGGGGGAGGGGTGACGTGGGGGGAGGGGTGACGTGGGGAGGGGGTGACATGGGGGAAGGGTGACGTGGGCGGAGGGGTGATGTGGGGGAGAAGTGACAGGAGATGGTGATGTGGGGGGAGGAGTATGGGGCAGGTGTGATGTGGGGGGAGGGGCGACATGGGGAGGGGGTGACGTGAGGGGGTGACATGGGAGACGGGTGACGTGGGAGGAGGGGTGACGGGGAGGGGTGACACGGGGGGGGGGCGCCACTGGGCCTGGAAGTGCCGGCGATAGGCCGGGCAGGGTCTGCTGGGGGCCCAAAGCCCTGGGGTGGCGCTCGCAGGAGGCCTGGCCGCTTCCACAGCGCAGGCACACTCGATGGGTGAACGAGGCGGTGGAGGGGGCAGGTTGGGGTGGGAGACCCTCTTCAGGCCCCTGGGGAAGGAGCCAGGGTGCTGGGCCCAAGGGCGCGCCATGTCAGCCCCGCTCTGGCTCATTCCAGTGCTCATCACCACGGTGAACTCGCTGAGCGTGCGGCTGGGGAGCTACGTCCAGAATGTGTTCACGGCGGCCAAGCTGGTGATCGTGGCCGCCATCATCCTCAGCGGCCTGGTCCTCCTGGCCCAAGGTGACCGCAGGCCGGACGGGGGGGCGGGTGCCGCCAGCACAGTCTTGTTCTCCGGGGGTTGTGCTCCCGGGCCTGTCTCTCAGGGAGCCTGGCAGGAGTTCGGCCGAAAGCAGCTGTGGTTTCCCTGCTTTCCAGAGTTTGTGTGACAACCTGAGGTCACAAGTTGTGCCCTTCTGTGGCACAGATATGAGGCAGGGCCCCAGTCGGGTCCTCTGATGCCCACAATTCACTGTCTGGCTTGGTTACAGGAAATACAAGGAATTTTGAGAATTCTTTTGAGGGCACAAAACTGTCTGTGGGAGCCATCAGTCTGGCATTTTATAACGGACTCTGGGCGTACGACGGATGGTAAGGCCCGCTGAGACGTCACTCACGTCTGGTCGGGGTGTCCCAGGCTACTAGACTGAAGCCAAGGAAAGCAAGGACCCTTCCCTCCTGGGGTTTGGGGGGGCCCTAACGTTCACCTCCACGTCTCCGTTTTGCTCAGCACCCGCCCCCCTTCTGTTCTCCTCGGACCCCACAGACACTGAAGCCCCTGCCCCTTTCCCGGCCCCGCAGAGTGGCCCAAGGGTAGGCGGTGGTGGGCCCAGGCCAGAAGCGTCATCAGACACAGACAGGCTCCGCAGGATGGGAGGCCGACATGGCAAGAATATTCCGCAGCCCTTCCATTTCAGCTGTGCAAATACGAGGCCTAGTCGATGAAGAAGCGTGACCCTCTGTGACACTGGTCTTCCCCTCATGCAAAGCAGCTTTCATTCTCCTCTCAGACAGCGAACCTTCCAGTTTTTCAAAGCAGCTTGGGGACTCATTACTCCGATAATTCTGGCAAATTCCCATGATTCCCACAGAGGGCAAAGACTTCTCACTGACAGACGTGCAGACCTTTGGGAGCCCCACCATCACTAGGGCTTTCTCCGAAAGCAATTACCCTGAATTCCTGCCAGAGAATTTTCTCTGTGGTGGAGAGTCTGAACTGAGGCCAGCCTTTATGGTGTGTTTTATGATCTCAGCAGAGAAGGCCAAAGTTAGGTCACTCATGTTACTTTTTCTTTGCCTAGGAATCAACTCAATTACATCACGGAAGAACTTAGAAACCCTTTCAGGTAAGAAAGCTGAGTCACGCGGGAGACAGCGGGCCGGCAAGCAGGCTCCTCTTACCCTTGCAGAAAGCGGCCCCCTCCCAGACTGCGGATGGTCCCTTAGAAGCTCGTTTCCATACACTCATCAGAGCTTGGCCGTGCTCTGGGTAGCGGGGTAGTCGCTGGCAGAATGGACGAACCCCAGCTTTATCTTGGGTTGATTTTGCTTTATAAACAGTTCAGCCTCACTGCCCTGGAGTCTGAGAGCAGGAGAGTTCTTTCTCATTTGCCGATGTCACAGCCCACAGCCCCTGCTGTGGCAGCGAGGACCCCAGCCCGCCCCAGGGAGAGGTGGGGGGCTGGCCAGGTGCGTGGGAAGAAAGGAAGGGACCGAAACTGGTGCTTCTCGTGAGGCTGTCATGGGATGCTCTGGTCCGACCCTGGGTCCCTGCCCCTCCCAGAAACCTGCCCTTGGCCATCGTCATCGGGATCCCGCTGGTGACAGGCTGCTACATCCTCATGAATGTTTCCTACTTCACTGTGATGACTCCCACGGAGCTCCTGCAGTCCCAGGCGGTGGCCGTGGTGAGTGCCCAGAGTTTGGGCAGGATGCTGCTGGGCTCCGGGGGAAGCCACCAATGCCCAAGCTGAGGTACCCTCTGCGGGTGAGGGAAACACTGGTCCAGGGCCCGGGCCGACTGAGCAGTTTAGGGCGGCCGCAAAGACCCGCCTGAGGAGAAAGGCCACCAGCAGGTGGCCTTCCAGTTCAGTTTGTGGCCTGGGCCCTGACACAGAATGCAGGTGGAGCAGAGCTGGATCTCATGAGGGGCGGGGTTTTGACAGACACGGTGCCGGCGAGAAAGTGCAGGGGAGGGATCAAAGGAGGGAATTATAATAACTGTGCAAATTAAGCTGGGCAAGGGGGGGGGTCTCAATGACCGGGGGATGGGGGTGAGGGTCAGTAGGAAAGGCGGGGGGGTCCACGTGCTGGAGGCCTTGTGGAGCGGGGGTGCGACAGGAAATGAACTGCAAACAGGCGACAGGGCTGGGGAGCAGGGAGAGCTGTCTGGGTCACGATGAGGTCACCGACCACAGGGACAGGTGGTTAAGGTGCAGGGAGGACAAGGTCATTCTGAGTGAGGGGCTCAAGGAAGCGTGAGGCCGGGGTATTGGAAGGACACTGAAATGATGAAAAATTAGGACAGGGACCCGTGGAGAGGAGACTTCTGTTACTCTGTGTTAGAAGGCCGGCAGGGGGCGCCCGGCGGCTCAGTCATTAAGCGGCTGCGTTCAGCTCGGGTCATGATCCTGGGGTCCCGGGATCGAGTCCCGCATCGGGCTCCCTGTTCGGTGGGGAGCCTGCTTCTCCCTCTGACCCTCCCCCCTCTCGTGCTCTCTCTCACCTTCTTGCTCTCAAATAAATAAATAAAATCTTTCAAAAAAAAAAAAAAAAGAAGGTCGGGGAGGGACAGTAAAGTATCCCTCAAACTGAGAAGGCACTTTGAGACAAAAATGAAGCACTGACTCCATATAGTTTATACACAGTTCTATTCAGTATAACTTCCTGACAGGGGAATCAGGTGGGGGTTGATCCAGGCTCAGTGCAGTTATTCTCTGCAAAGTCTGGACCTTAGTCCACAGATTTTATGGAGTGAGGTGGTGCGCAGAAGGGCACTGTGGTGACAGCAAAGGGCTAGCATGCACTCCACTGACAGCCAACCTTTAATTAGATCTCGTGGCACCACCTGTGCACCAGGAAGGGGACAGACTGTGTTCTAACAGAATCCTGGGAGGCCAAAACAAGCCTCCCCACATCCCGACCTTGGCAGATGTTTCTAAGGTATGGATATTAATCCCCAAGGCACCTGAACACGTAGCCCCAAGAGAGGTCATCCAGCAAACATGAATAAGATGGAGGACCAAGGATGGAGTCAGTATGGTCAGGTCTCCTGCACTCCGGGGGAGAAAGGTTAAGCTGTTTTCCTCCTGAGAGATTGTCTACTTTCTCCTTTCCTGGAGGGGAGTCAGAGGCCGTGCCCCCCAGGGGTGGGGGGTCCAGCTGCCAGGCAGGGCCCAGCAGCTTCCTTGGGACTCACAGCTCCTGCGGGCCGTGCAAGACCCTCAGGGCTCCCCTGCTTCTCTCTGCAGACGTTTGGTGACCGTGTTCTCTATCCAGCCTCTTGGGTGGTTCCACTGTTCGTGGCCTTTTCCACCATCGGTGCCGCCAACGGGACCTGCTTCACAGCGGGCAGGTAGGGGAACCCCGCACTCACCCCAAGGGAGCAGAGGGCAGCTGAGCCCATCCCACACTCGAGGAAGACAAGACTCGGGGCAAAAGTCCTTAGGGCTCTGCCAGGCTAACACCTCATGGCATAACAGAAAACCCAATGTCTAACTGGAATTTGAATAAAAACTTTAAAAAAAAAAAAAAGAAAACCCAAAGTCCTGGAAAGGGAGCAAAAAGTGTGGCCAAGCCTGCACACTGGCACTAGGCATGGTGGCCCCACGGAAGCGAGCCTATGCTCCTCGGGAGGGAGCAGCGCTGCCAACTTCAGGACAAGGTGGAGCTTGGGGACACAGAGTGACAGGCACATGGTGGTACTTTTCACCTTGTCCTGCTTGTCACCTATGGATATTTCTTGAACATCTCCTGTGAATATATACATAATCGAGATCAGAGAGTAACAATTTAGGCTTTCAGGCCATGGCGGTCTGTCACTACCCAACTGTCTCTGTAGCACGACAGCAAACAGCTGAGGTCCTGTTCCTCTCAGACGTTACTCACACAAACAGGTGTAGCTCGCCAGCCCCGCCAACCCTCTGGACCCTCCTGCTCCAGAGACCGTTAGTGGCTGCGTCGTATTCCATTTTACGACGTAGCACAATTTCACATAACCTCAGCTCGTGGGCTGAGTGGGGCTTGTTTTCATCAACACTGCCCCAGGGACCATTCTGGAACACGTCTTTGCCTGGTTGTCCAGGGTTCTGAATGGCTATATTTCTGAGAGTGGAATTGCCACGGATTATATACTGACACGCGATAGACCACAAAATCATTCTTCTGAAGCGGTGTCAAAAAAGACTTACCTTCTTCAGAAGCCTTCAGCTATTCTGGGTCCTTTGCTTTTCTAGATGAATTTTAGAATCTGCTTGTCAATTTCTACCAAAAGGCCTTCAAAGATTTTGACCAGGGCTGTGTTCCATCTATAGTTCAGTTTGGAGAGGGCTGCCATTTAATTGTATTGATTGTTCTAATCTAAGGGCAAGGACCCTCTCCCTTTATATAGGTCTTAATTTTTTAAAAAAATGTTTTCTTGAGTAGTTTCAGTATATGGCTCTTGCATATATTTTGTCAGATTCATCCCAAAATATTTCATATTTTGGGGGCACCTGGTTGGCTCAGTTGGTTGAGCGTCTGCCTTCCATTCAGGTCATGGTCTTGGTGTCCTGGGATTGAGCCCCGAGTCAGGCCCCCTGCCTGCTCAACAGGGAGTCTGCTTCTCCCTCTCTCTCTGCCCTTTCCCCCTGGCCCGTGCTCTCTCACGCTCTCTCTCAAATAAAAAAATTCATATTTTTTGTGCTATTGTAAATGGTATTTTTTTAAATTTCCGTTTCTGATAAGTTTGTTGCTCATATACAGAAACACAATTTCAGTAGCTCTGCTGAGGTTTAAATACCATAAAACTCACTTTGCAATTATACAATTCGATGATCTTAGTAAATTTATAAAGCTGTGCAAATATTCTCACAGTCCAGTTCTAGAACATTTCCATCATCCCAAAAAGTTCACTCCTGCTTAACTGCAGTTCATCCCTGCTCCCTGCTCCATCCCTAGACTACCACTGACCTGCTCCTGTGTCTATAACTTTGCCTTTTCTGGACATTTCATTTAAATAGAATGATGCACTGTGTCATTTGCATCTGGCTTTTTTTCACTTAGCATATTATTTTTGAGGTTCAGCCATGTCATAGCATGTAACTGCTCATTCCTTGTAACTGCTGAATTGTATTCCATTATATGGATATACCACATTCTGTTTATCCATTCACCAGTTGAGGGAGGTTTGCATTGCTTCTGGCTCTTATGAACAGTGCTGCCATGAACATTCATACACATGTGTTTGTGCGGACTTACGTTTTCATTTCTCTTAGGTAGCTTCCTAGTAGAAACGCTGGCTCAGAGAGTAAATTTGTGATTAACTTTTACAGAAGCGGCTTGACAGTTTTCTAAGTGGCTGTTCCATTTTAATTTCCATAAGCCATTCATGACCATTCCAGTTTCTCCACATCCTAACACTTGGCATTGTCTTTCTAGTGGGTATCAGTCATGTCGTCGTGGCTTTAACTGCATTTCCCTAATGACTAGTGATACGGAGCATCTTTTCATGTGCTGATTAGCCATTCATATATCTTCTAATGAAATATCTATTCAAATCTTTTGTTCACTTTTTAAACTGAGCTGTTTGTCATCTTACTGTGTTGTAAGAATTCTTTATATATTATGGATACAAGTCCTTTATCAGGTATCTGACTTGCACATATTTTCTCCCAGTCTGTGGCTTGTCTTATCTTGTACTGGTGTTTTTGATATACGCATGTTTTTAACTTTGATAAAGCCCAGCTTATTTTTTTGTTCATGTGTCATGTTTTTGTTATCATATCTAAGAGCCTTTGTGCAACCCAAGGCTGTCACAAAGGTCACAAAGATTTTCTCTTCTGTTTTACCCTAAAAGTTGGTTTTTTTTAATAGATGTAGCTCTCACACTTAGATTTATGATCCATTCTGAATTAATTCTCTATAGTTCTGTACTGTGCAGCTTGGGGGTTGGTCAGAATTATGACTTATGTTGCATAGAATTTTTGCAGGGTCACATCCAAGATTTTTGCTTCCTGGTATCTGAGTTTTCTATGTCACATAGACAAACCTTCCTCCTTTCAAGAATACCCACCTGTGTTTTCTTCTAGCATTTTACTTTAGCTCTTTGATCACTCTGGAATATATTTTGATATGAGGCATAAATCTCACTTTTCCCCCTCAAACTTCTACCTGTCGTCCTGATATTATTTATTGATAGTCCATCCTTTCTCCTCCTGGTTTGAATGCCATCATTCTCATGCCCAGGGTTCTGGGTTCACTCTGCTTCACGATGGGCCCCGTCCTGTGCTATCACTGTGCATAGGGATGCTTCCCAAACCCCCTCAGGTAACATCGGGAAGAGCCACTGCTCCCATGTCCGTGCTCCACTCCTCCTTGCCTGCTCAGCCCTCCAGCCACACTTGCAATGACTAACCAGTTCCAAGTGTCCGCTTGCTTTCTGAGCCCATGGAATTTATGGAGAGGTTTGTGAGCGCTGAGGGGTTTAAAGCGTGAGGTCACAGCGCCACCTGGAGTCTGTCTCCCTCCATCTGGAGACTCCTTTCCTCCCAGTTTCATGGGCTTGTTCTGGGAACTAGATGCCATGTTTATGTCTTTTTCAAAGTTCAAATATGTAGTTTTATTTATTTTTTAAGGTTTTATGAGAGAGAACACAAGCAGAGGGAGAGGCAGAGGGAAGGAGAAGGAGACTCCCTGCTGAGCTGGGAGCCCGACTGGGGCTTACTCCCAGGACCTGGAGATCATGACCTGAGCCAAAGGCAGACACTTAACCACCTGAGCCACCCAGGCGCCCCTCAAATATGTAGTTTTAAATAGACAGGCTTGGGCACCTGGGTGGCTCAGTCATTAAGCGTCTGCCTTCGGCTCAGGTCATGATCCCAGGGTCCTGGGATCGAGCCCCGCATCGGGCTCCCTGCTCAGTGGGAAGCCTGCTTCTCCCTCTCCCACTCCCCCTGCTTGTGTTCCCTCTCTCGCTGTGTCTCTCTCTGTCAAATAAATAAATAAAATCTTTACAAGATAAATAAACAAACAAACAGGCTCTTTTGGCCTCTGTATTCCTCACTTCTCATTTTATTGTATTGTAGTCAGAGTGTGGGATCTTTATGATCTCACTTCTTTAGAAGCTTTATGCCTTCCCTTGTGGCTTACTGCAGTTTTTATAAATGCTTCTTAGGGTCTTGAAAATAAGGTATATTGTGTTTACGTTCTTGATTTTTATTTTATTTTATTTTATTTTATTTTTAAGATTTTATTTATTTGACAGAGAGAGACACAGCGAGAGAGGGAACACAAGCAGGGGGAGTGGGAGAGGGAGAAACAGGCTTCCCGCTGAGCAGGGAGCCCGATGCGGGGCTCGATCCCAGGACCTGGAATCATGACCTGAGCCAAAGGCAGATGCTTAACGACTGAGCCACCCAGGCGCCCCTTGATTTTTATATCATCGTCAAGCTTGTGCCTTGACTGTTCAAATCTTCTGCTCTCAGTGGATTTGTTGAGTTTGGCCTTCTATGTTTCAAGGGCTCCAGTTTTGGCATCTTCTTGGTAGACGGCTTCTGTTTTCAGTGGGAACTCTTTTTGCCTTAAATTCTGTTTTGTACAATATTGCTCTTGAGGACTCTGCAGGCTCTAGGCTGCTGCTTCGGGTAACACATCTCACCCCTTGTATCTTCCACCCTCGGCATTATGGGGCTTTGGCTTGTGTCTCTTTCAACAACCCCCCAGGTTGTCTCCTGCCCGGGCAAGCAACATCTGACCAGAGTTGATGTGATTACTATTACAGTGGGATTGATTTCCAACATATTGTGTTTTCTTGGCTTTTGAAAAATCTTACCCTGATTTATTATCCATCAAATGTCCTTTCTTTTTTCTACTGATATGGAAGTTTTATTTCTCTTTTTTAGCAACTACCCTTCAAATTTAACTCAAATACCTAACAGAGTCTGTCAGCATCTCCATTCTCCCCCCTCTCCTGCGAGGGCTCCCCCTTTTGCACTGTCCAGTAGATGAGCTGCACCTTGTCTATAAACCCGCCCCTCCAGAAAAAGTTCATCCTGACAAGAATTAAAAATGTATGTACTTACATCCATACCAACATGTTTTACTGCTGTTTCCTTAACACTGCTTCTTCAATCAACTCCTGAGTTCAGTTTCTTTCTGTCTGTTGGAGTAGACCAAAGAGTTTCCAGTGAGGATCAGAGAACAGAAAATGTGTTGTAGTTATTGTTCACCTACAAATGTATTTATTTTGCCCCTAGTCCTGAATGATAGTTGAGCTATGCAGCACCGAAATCTGAAAACCAATGTCCCTCATCGCTTTGAACATAGTTTCATGCCATGTCTGTTATGGTTCTGGTTGTCCTAATTTTGTAGTTAATCTTTTAAATTTGGAAGCTTAAGAAATTTTTCTTCCTTCCACACTGTTTGTATCTGGGTATGTTTTTATCTTGAGCTGGGTTTAATGTGAAAGCTGTTTTTCAGTTCCGTGAAAGCTCTCTACTCTTCAAGTCTGCCTTACCGCATTCAACATATTCGGGCTTCTTCTTGTTTCTTCTCTCAGTTTCCTGCCTACATTTTCCATTTCTCTACCCTTCATAACTCAGATCTAGTTGGGTTTTTTTTTTTTTTAAGATTGTATTTATTTAGAGGCAGAGCACAAGTGAGGAGAGGGGCAGAGGGAGAGAGAATCCTAAGCACACTCCACGCTGAGCATGGACCCTGAAGTGGGGCTGGCTCTCATGACCCTGAGATCATGAACTGAGCCAAAATCAAGAGTCGGACACTTAACTGAGCCCGCACAGGCGCCCCGCTCAGATCTAGTATCTTTTATTATAATTAGAACATTAACATTTTTTAAAATTCATTTAATTAATATATAATGTATTATTGGCTTCCAAGGTAGCGGTCAGTGTGATTCATCGGTCTTATATAACAGCCAGTGCTCATTATATCACATGCCCTCCTTAATGTCCATCACCCAGTTACCCCATCCCCCCACCCCCCTCCAGCAACCCTTCAGTTTGTTTCCTATGATTAAGAGTCTCTTATGGTTTGTCTCCCTCTGATTCTGTCTTGTTTTATTTTTTCCTCTCTTCCCCTATGATCCTTTGTTTTGTTTCTTAAATTCCACATATGAGATCATATAATTGGCCTTCTCTGATTGACTTGTTTAGCATAATACCCTCTAGGTTCCATCCACGTTGTTGCAAAGGGCAAGATATCCTTTTTTTTGAAGGCTGAGTCATATTCCATTGTATATATATACCACTTCTTCTTTATCCATTCATCTGTCGATGGACACCTGGTCTCTTTTCACAGTTTGGCTATTGTGGACATTGCTGCTATAGACATTGGGGTGCAAGTGCCCCTTCAGATTCCTACATTTGTATCTTTGGGGTAAATCCCTAGTAGTGCAACTGCTGGGTCGTAGGGTAGCTCTATTTTCAACTGTTTGAGGAACCTCCACACTGTTTTCCAGAGGGGCTGCACCAGCTTGCATTCCCACCAACAGTGAAGGAGGGTTCCCCTTTCTCCACATCCCTGCCAACATCTGTTGTTTCCTGACTTGTTAATTTGAGCCATTCTGACTGGTGTGAGGTGGCATCAGATCTAGTTTCCAATTTATTTTTTTCACTTTGAACCTAGATTAACAACTGTTGATTACATTCTTAAATTATGGTAATTTTTTATTTTTTAAAAATTCTGTTTGGCTTTTTCCCCCCTTTTCTCTCTTCAGCATTTTAAACATAGTCTTTCAGATTTCTGAATCACGAGTTCTCGGGAGTGGGGGTGGGAGGACTAAGCCATTTATTTGCATCTACTGACCCACCCTTAATTCATCTTTGGGGTTTTTTGTTTAATATGGAAATTCTGTACAGCGTGGATCTAGGAAGTACCAGGCGCCTCTGTGTTTGCCTCTGTCTGCTCCAAGCACGGAGGTCCACTGGTCCCGGACTGGTTTTCCCCATACGTGAAAGCATAATTTTGAGGGCACAGGAGTAGGTGTCTCCTCCTGAAAGGTCCTCCCCAAACCCTAAGCCAGCCCCCAGCTCTCCCCTATGTAGATGACCCACGGCACCGGGATGCCTCGCTCTCAGGGGCATTTAACCACCTCACTCACTTCCCCCAAATTCACTCACCTCCCTGAGACCACCTCCCACTGAAGATGCCAGGTTCCAATTCAGTCCCTGTCTCTGCGGCTTTGGTAGTGACTCCCACTGATGGTACAACAGCCGCACACCCATCCATGAGGCCTCCGTTACTGCTTTTTCAGACTTGTGTACGTGGCGGGCCGGGAAGGCCACATGCTCAAAGTGCTGTCCTACATCAGTGTCAAGCGCCTGACTCCAGCCCCTGCCATCATCTTTTATGTAAGTATGAATTCTGCCAGCAGACACCCTCCTTAAAGGCAGAGGGGCCCTGAAGGAACCCGGTATTGCTGAGCCCAGTGGTTTTCACATGGCCCAGGCTCCCTTGCTCCTCGACACGAAATAGGTTAAAAAGCCCATGACAGTGCAAACATTGCCCAACACGTCTGCTCCTTGTTCTGACTTTGTCCGTGAAAGACACTGTTCGACTCTTCCAACTTTCTACCCTCTACACCCCTTACGTGTACATCTGTATGTCTGGTCCCTGGTAACAAACTATACAAAACCCCACTCGCTTACAGAGAAGGAGAATAAGGCATTCACGAGGTGGTTACCGATAAGTACTTCTTATGGCCCCATAATTTAGACGTCATGGCGCCCTTGCACAGTAGAGGCCCTCTGACATCCTCTAATTGGAGTTTCTAAGTGGGGGACAGTCCTTGGTTGTGTGCCACTGTCTCTGGCACCTGCGGACCGTCCAAGCCCAGCCTCGGGGCCAGACTCCTTCCACCCCAAAGGAGAAGCACTACTCTCCATCAGCCTACTCCCTTTGAAGATGAGGAGAGGCCTCCTGGGACAAGGCCCAGGCCCCACAGCTAAGGCGGGTCCAGACCAGGCTGAGACAGGCAGGGCCCTTTCCCCTGACGAAGACTCTCTGGCTGGAACGTTTACCATCAGAAAGCTGGTGTGGTGGTACATGCATACTTTGTTTTTTCCCCTGCTTAAAATGGCAACTTCAAAGAGTCACAGATTTTCCAAGTCCTTCCCGTCAGGCTTCAGGGAGCACACTCACCATAGCCAAAGCCTGGTTTAATCCCAACTATAATGGGATGCATAGGTTTCTTTCATGCTGACCTGTTCATCCACAGGAGACACTGCTTCTTCAGTCTCCTGTGACATGACAGGGATCCTGTGACCTAAGAATTCACTCTTCCTTCCACTAGGGTATCATAGCGACTATTTATATCATCCCTGGTGACATAAACTCATTGGTCAATTACTTCAGTTTTGCCGCATGGCTGTTTTATGGCCTGACGATTCTGGGACTGGTTGTGATGAGGTTTACGAAGAAAGACCTGGAAAGGCCTATCAAGGTAGGTTTTGTGCCCCAGATGTCACGAGTGGCTTTGATTTCTTGAAATGGATTAGAAGTAAGTACTTGAAAATCTAGGGGCATGGTTTCTATTTCCAACCTGACTCTACTGTCCCCTTGAACATCATAGTTTAGAGTGGTGTTTGCTCCTGAATTCCGGCCCTAGACCCATTCCTGTGTGGGCAACCACTAATAATCTGCATCTGCAAACTGGGGTTCCCTGCCACCTCCCTGCACAGCTGGAGTAGGTCTAGATGCCAATGCAAGAAGAATTTATTTTGTTTTGCTTGTGTTAGAGGCTTTTGCTTTGTTTTGTTAACAACTGTACTATTGACTTCTTACAACAACTGCAGGTGTAAGAACAAGGTAGGGAAGCTGAGGGCTTAAATAAATAGGACAAGAACAGGACGTTGTCTTTCTGGCCCTGTAGCCTGACTATCACCAAGTCTCCAGAGTCAGCTGAGACATGGAGTTTGGCAGTCCCACCTCAGTTAGGTCATCTGGCAGGCAAAATCATGATGGTAGAACAGATTTTTCATCTGCACAAAACCCCTCAAACAAAAAGGATTTGAGAGAAAATAACGAAGATAGGGAAAGAAGGCTCTAACACATGTATAATTGGAGTGCCTGAAGAAGAAAATAAAAGCAACAGATTTTTTTTTTTAAAGATTTATTTGACAGGGAGGTGGGCGGAGAGTGAGAATCCTCAAGCAAACTCCTCGCTGAGGGAGGAGCCCAACACGGGGCTTGATCCCATGACCCCCGAGATCATGACATGAGCTGAAATCAAGAGTTGGCCACTCAACCCAACTGAGCCACCCAGGCACGCCCCAAAGCAATAGAATTCTTTAGAACTATAATTCAAAAAAAAACATTTCCTGGGGCAGGTGGGAGAGTGGGAGGGGACCATGAAAGGAGGGGACCAGAACCAACATACTAGAAGGCATACGGCATCACCAGAGAATCTTGAGCTAGAAGGGGCAACAGGGAACTATATTCTGATTAAATTATGGAGCTTTAAAAGATCATGCTTTGGGTATCTACTCCTCCTTTCGTGCCCTTCCCAGACCCCAATTCACTTATAAAGGAAAGAAATTAATATAGGGATTAGGATTCTCATCAGCAACACTTCATAGCCTGAGATAGTGGAGCACATGTTTATGGTATTCAAAGACAGAAAATATAAGCCAAAGATTTTATACCCAAACTGACCTCAAAGAATAAAGTGACCAAGGAGCACCTGGGTGGCTCGGTTGTTTGAGCAGCCAACTCTTGGTTTCAGCTCGGGTCATGGTTTCAGGGTTGTGAGATCGAGCCCCATGTCAGGCTCTGTGCTCAGCGGGCAGTCTGTTGTGGGTTCTCTCTCTCCCTCCCCCTCCCGTGCATGCTCACTCTCTCTCTCGAATAAATAAATCTTAAAAAAAAAAAAAAGAATAAAGTTACCAATATGAAACATCTCAAGGCATGGATGGCTACAGGAGACCTTCAGGAGGAGTCATCCAGAGAACAAGCTTCAGAAACCAAAACGTCAGTGGCACAAGGTGAATGCCCTTAAGTACAGAACTGGAATAAATGATGGCAGATAAAGGGGACACAACAAGGATGCAAATGCCAAGCACTGACAATACCGTACGACAAAAGTGGAAGAGAAAGCACATGAAAGTGTGCCAGTTAAGGAAGGCGTGCCAAGGAAACTGCCCTAGGCTACCATCTAAAATTAGACAGGAGGAGGAAGGGGAAGAATCCCTAGCTAACTCGGTTACTGCTTTTATGGACAGTATGTAAGAGAGAGGAGAGTCAGGTGTGGTATTTACTATTTATAATGGCAACTCTCAGAACAAAAACAGCATTTATAGATCCCTAAAGATATATCCAAAATAAACACACACACACATGTATGCAAGAGACCAGATCATAAAAGACCTGCTATATAAAGACGCCAATAGGGAAACAAATCAGAATATCTTCCTGGTTAACATTTTCTTGGTAGAACGCATATTAGGGTTCTTTTTGCTTATTAGTTTTTAATACCCCAAACTTTCTAGACTCTATAAATCTCTCAATACTCCTATTAAATCAAGACATTTAAATTTATCAATTATAATTATTAAATTATTGGTTTAATTATTTTTTAAATGAAGTCTGAGTCTTTTATTTCTTAGAAAAAGATTTTGAGAGAGAGAGAACACAAGCGGGGGGCAGGTGCAGAGGCAGAGGGAGACTCCCCACTGAGCAAGGAGCATGATGCAAGGCTCAATTCCAGGACCCTGGGATCATGACCTGAACTGAAGGCAGACCCTTAACTGAGCCACCCAGGCGCCCCTTAATTTAATTATTTAATAATTATTAATATTTAAATCCCAAAATGTAATATGGTATTTTCAAGACATGTGTGAGGAAAATTTCAAATTGCACTCCAAATCCAACACAATTCAGAGTTGTGTGTAGGCACCCCAACAAATGAGAGTCATGTGTCACTCATGCTGGGAGACTGTGTCACTGCATCAAAGGTAACCACTTGTTAACAACCATGCCAACTGGCTGGTCAGCAGGAAATCACCTTTAAAGCAGTTTACTTCCTGGTATAGTGCACGTTGGGTATTTATACACATTTCCTGTGTTTTAGTTATCTTTGAGGACATTGTTTGGGAATTTGGGGTTTCCTGTGATACGTGATCTTTTTTTTTCCCATATAAAATAAGGGAAATGGGGGACACCTGGGTGGCTCAGTCAGTTAAGCATCTGCCTTTGACTCGGGTCATGATCCCAGGGTCTTGGGATTGAGCCCTACACCCCTACCTCCCTGCTCAGTAGGGAGCCTGCTTCTCCCCCTGCCTGCCACTCCCCCTGCTTGTGCTCTCTCTGTCAAATAAATAAATAAAATCTTTTAAAAATAGAATAAAAGAAAAGAAATGGGCCTCAGGTGAGAGTTTTCCCCACAGAATGTCACTGTTTAAGGGCAGAAAACTAACAATAAGCAGAAGCCTACATATAGGAATAGAGAACAGTGTGGAGCCCAAACTTGTCAGTTACACGAATAAACTGGCTTATTCAGTTTAAATGAGCCTAAAACCAATCATTAAAGGGAAAAGATTTTTCAGGCAGGTTTACAAAGCTGTGAGAAAAAAGGATAAGCAAAATACATACCAAGCAAATGAAAATACTCCTAAAACAGGGGTTGTGATCTTATCAGACGACAGTACTCCTACCCAAAGCACAAGACACTTCAGTGTCTTTAGTGATCCTAACGGCTAAAATTCACAATAAAGAGATGGCAGGCATGAAAACTTACTCACCAAATCACACAGTAGTCCTTGTTACGAAGCAGAAACTTCAGCAAGTACAAGGAGACACGGACATACACCCTAACAGTGGGCTTTAACGGGGCTCCCTTCAGTCCAAGACAAACCCAGACATCTCATTGGTACAGGTGACAAGCCCTAAACAGAACAAGGCAGATCTTAGAGACCGTTCCAGACTCTGAATCCCCAAAAGAGCAAGCACCTTTTCAAGTGCATATAGGACACATCTGAAAACTGACAAATGCCCCAAAGAAAACCTTGATAAAACATCAGTAATAAAGACATACCCCATTCTCTGTCTATAATGCAATAAAACAGGAAATTAATGTAAAAAATTTCAACTTTTCAGTCCAATAGGAAATGAAAGTACATAAACTCCTAAAAATAACAGTAAGACATTATCTATGATCAGTACTTGGAAGAAGTTTTGTTGCATTGAATACAATAACAATGAAAACAATCAGGCAACTAAAAAAGCAAGAGAAAGAACAACAAAGAAAACCAAAAGAGTGTATAAGAATTGATAAACAAAAAAGAACTTAAGATAATCTTAATTGGATCATCTGGTTTTTGGAACTTTCCTGAGAATTCAGATTCTGATGGGGTTAGTTTTAGTAACTTTACATTTTCCCAGAAAATTGTCCATTTCATCCCATTTACTTATATGGAGTTGTACAAATTAGTATGTTCTGGAGATTATTTCCCCGTTTTTGTTTCTTATTTTCGTGTTTGTGCTTCCTCTCATTTTTTAAAATGTCAGCTACAGGGGCGCCTGGCTGCCTCAGTTAGTAGAGAGTGTGACTCTTGACCTCAGGGTTGTGAGTTCAAGCCCCATGCCGAGTACAGAGATTACTTAAACTATTTTTTTTTTTTAAAAGCAAAAGGTTAGGTACAGGTTGTTTTATTGATTTTTCAGATTATTTCTATCAACAGGGTGTCTGGGTGGCTCAGTCGGTTAAGTGTCTGACTCTTGATCTCAGCTCAGGTCTTGATTTCAGGGTTGTGAGTTCAAGCCCTGCATTGGGCTCCACGCTGGGCATGGAGCCTACTTTAAAAAAAAGCAAAGAAATACACTGAAATCAATAGCCTTTGTTTATAAAAATGACATCCAATTGAAAGATAACAAAGAGAGCAACTCATTCCCCAAAACAAGTAATAAGTGCCTAGCCATAACCTTAACAATAGGTAAGGCCTCTAAGTTGTAGCAGAATTCTTTTGAAAGACAGAAAAGATCACTTGAACAAGTGAAAATTCATACATGTTCTTAGGAAAAATCAGTGTCATAAAGATGTCCCTGTTTTTTGTTTTTATGGGGGTGGTGGGGAGGAGCAGAGGGAGAATCTTAAGCAGACTCCAAACACAGCACGTAGCCCAACGTGGGGCTTGATCTCATAACCCTGAGATCATGACCTGAGCCTAAATCAAGAGTCTGCTTAACCAACTGAGCTCCCCGGGCACCCCAAGATGTCACTGTTTTTAATTTAGACATTTAATGAGATCACGATACATCTGATTTTTTTTCTAGAGTTGCAGGAGTTGATTACAAAGATCAAACTGATGCAAGAAAAGCCACCAAAACAGAAGAGAGAATATTAAAATATAAAGGTTTTTAAATTTAAATATGGTGCTGATGCATGAAGAAAACATAAATTATATAAATTGCTTTGTAATCAGAAATGAGGGAAATCTTTCCTATGACTCAAAATCTATCATTACTAAGGAAAAAATGGACAAGCATAAACCCACCAAAAAAATTTAGGCATTGATAAAGAGAAGTTAAAAACCCATATATATAACAGATGGGGAGAATATTGGCAATAATATCACAAAAGAGTTCCTAAAATGGAGATGGGAATTACCAACATCTGAAAGGGACTGATCATATAAACAAATAAAAAATGAAGACAGTTCAGAGAGAAACTACATGACACTTAAAAATGAAGCAAAAGAACCCCAACAAGGCCCGCCCCCCGCCCCTAATAGGAGAATGCTGGCCACAATTCTGATGAGGTGCCCCTGCTTGCCCATCAGACAGGCAGAGATCCCACGCTCTGGTCCCACTGTATTCTGGTGAGGCCTCAGGGAAGCAGCCCGCACTCGCACATGGTGGCTGGAATACAAATGGAGGAGCTGTTATGGAGGTGGTAAGGGGAGAGGAACTTGGCAACATCTAGCAATTTCACAATTGCACTTATCTTTGGACCCAGCCACCCCATTTTGAGGTAATCTACCCCCAAGGTGATATTGGCCAAAGTATGATGTATATACAAGGTTCTTTACTCCAGCATTTGCTGTACTAGCAAAAGGCTCAGCACAACCCAAAAGCCAATCAGTGGGAGACTTGGTCAAATAAATTTTGATACATCCACAAAGTAGAGTGTAATGCAGCAGGAAAAGGTGGAGGAGTAATATTCTGTGTATTACCATAGCACTACTTCTGGAATAGATTAATAGGAAAAAGCGAAGTACAAAACTACCTGTTACGTATTTACTAGCTTTTATCCGGGGGTAGCGGAAGATGAACGTGTGTGTGTGGTTGTGCTTCTATTTATTCTCAAAAATAAATAATAGAAGAAAAAAACCAAAATCAATAAAAAGTTTTAAATTACAATATTTTAAAAATTAAGATAAAAGGGAAAAAACAAATCCCTCAAAACTGAAAACAAATGGAGATAAGAAACCTTACTCTGTGATAAGTAAATGACAACACCACACAGGGAAAAACCGAAGGGCAGTATGTTGAATGAATCTCCCTTGTGGATTATAGTTTGAGATTTAAAAAGAACAAGAAATCTTACACTTCATACCATACTTATAGTAGTGGTAGGACTGGCACAGTTATTTTGCCCATTTATTACAGGCACAGTACAGGATACAGCAAGTGAGTGACTATGCTAAAGCCATTAAGAACCAGGATTTTCATAAGCGTAAGGAAACAAGACATGAAGTCTAAAGGGAAAGAAATGCAATGAATTGGAAATATCAGTATGAACTTGTGAATTTTTTCTTGAAAAAAAATTTTCTCTCTGTCCCTGCAAAAGAACAATGAGTACTCCAATCCCTCAGATTATGGTTTCTAAGTGCCATTTCCAACTAAAAGAAAACTGCTCCCTGCAGAAGATGGAGGAGTCCCGATCTGGTGGCACTGGTTTCTCCTCCAGCCCCTGAACCCACAGACAGACCCTGGCAATTCAGAGGTGGGACAGTGGGACATCAAGGGCCTCGTGATGTTACAAGGGGAAGCATATGGCTCCATGTACAAAGTATGCAGATTTCCCGCACACGGCCCGCGTGCGGGAAATCTGAGGGACAGAGGAGCAAGTTCTCAGGCAAAGCTAGAATTAAGACCTTGTATTAGGATGAATCATCCGATTCCTATAACAAATCAATGACAAGGTAAAAGAAAAAAAAAAGAGAGAGGAGGGAATAAACGTGTTAAAACATACCCTCCTCCTCAGAGGTGAATACTGAATGGTTTCACGGGTAAAATGACATGATGTCTGACATTTTCTTTATGTTCTAGGGAAAAGAAAAAAAAAAAGGTAGACTGGATGAAACAAGATTGGCAAAATTACTTTAAAACTATTGAAATCGGAGGACAGGCATAAGGAGCTCATCATATATGTTCTGTAGCAGCGTTTGGTCTGGGGTGCACGTTTTCGGGAAGACCGTGGATGCCCATGGCCAGGCTGTGACACTGTGTTGTCTGTCGGCAGGTGCCCATTTTCGTCCCCATCATGGTGACCCTCATATCTGTGTTCTTGGTTGTGGCCCCGATCATCAGCGAACCTGCACTGGAGTATCTCTACTGTGTATTATTTATGCTGAGCGGCCTTATATTTTACTTCCTTTTTGTCCACTATAAGTTTGGATGGGCTCAGAAAGTCTCAAGTAAGTACCAACAGAGGGACGGTTCTCTTAGCGAAGCACAGACAGGCGACTGCACTCTGCAGCCTCCCCTGTCCTTCCCTATCGCAGCTCATGCAGCTAGAAAATCTCACCTTCTCCTCCGTGGGGCACCTCTGGGGTCCACCTGGGGCCTCTGCCTTTGTTCCCCGTCAATTACTGTAAACAAGTAGGAAGGGAAATCACCATCTGCTTTTTTTTTCCTTGTAAGATACACATAACAAGGAATTGACCATCCTAATGATTTCTTTAAAAAAAAATTTGACAGAGAGAGCCACAGCGAGAGAGGGAACACAAGCAGGGGGAGTGGGAGAGGGAGAAGCATGGTTCCTGCTGAGCAGGGAGCCCGATGCGGGGCTCGATCCCAGGACCCTGAGATCATGACCTGAGCCGAAGGCAGACGCCTAATGACTGAGCCACCCAGGCGCTCCATCCTAATGATGTTTAAGTGTATGGTTCAGTACCGATGAGCATATTCACATGGTTGTGCATCCAACCTTCAGAGCACCACCTTCTCTTGCCTGATACACAGACATCCTGAGAGGCCCAGCAGCATCCCAGAGACACCCGAACAGTGTTGGGACGAGAGCCTGAGCCTTCCCATGGCGAAGCCCTAGCTCTTGCTCACCACTCAGCAATCCTGGCTGCTCATCTACTGTAGGCCAATTGTGGGTTAGAAGTTCAGCTACATTAGCCACTTTCAATCAGGGGGACTCGGCACAGCGCACGGACATCCACAGTGCCATGCCCTGTGCCATAGATTCAACCGCAGGGAAGCGCCAGCACCCCGTGGCCATCGGGGGCCAAGGCCATCAGTGATCCACTACCTGAAGACCTGTTTCTTGGTCTCCCTCTCCCCATACTGTTTCTACAAGGCAGGAATTGGGCTGCGCAGTCTCACCCCGGATCTATACAACAGCCGCCTAATGTTCATAGAGTAAATTGATTCAACATCTGCCCCTTCTCCTTCAGCTTGTCTGAACAGAGAACAGGGAAAGTACAACCATCCCCTCAGCACTCCTCCAGGGTTCCTACATACATACATACATATATATATATATATATATTTAATTTTTTTAATATATATATATATGCGCAACTCCGGGAGACACACAGGGTATGAAAGAGTAAAACCCCACTGGAAGTCAGTGAGGTTGACCCTGAGACTTTGTTTAGACTGAGCCAGCGGGGACTGGGAATGCCTTTCTCCAGCCTGGGCTGTTCAGATCCTGGCGTGGCCTGCATTCCTCACCGGTGAAACCCGACAGCGGTGTTATAATAAGCAAGAGAAAATCTGTTTCATGTTGATTAGCCAAGTGAAACCACACCTGAAATAGGGCTTTATTATTTCCACCGGGGACTTTTTCCTTTCCTGAAAGAGCTCTCCCCACCGCCCAACCTCTTTATACTCTGATCGAAGGCCTAGGCTGGGAGAGGGTTGCAGGTACACTACCGTAGGTAGGAAAGTACATTTGGTGCTGGGAGAACAGCCATCTCCCCTGCCTCTGACCATGAGCTTAGATCTGATCGTACCAACAGTCTAGCCAGGATGACTTCACCACCACAGGGTTACAAAGTAGGTCTTAATTCTCAGCTTTAGAAAACTTAGCCAAGCTGCTCCCTACAAGAACTGGTTGGAAGCTGGAATTAAGGAGGTGAAAAGAACAATCTAGCTTTTAAGCAAGATGCGGGCTCAGTGCTTTCCAACTAAATATTCAACTCTCGGTCAGTGGTGGTTACGTAAGGACACAGAAGTGAGGTGTGCCTATCTTCCCAGAGTAAAACAGCAGGCTCCTAATGCTTTCCTGGGAAATAACTTCCCTCCAGAGAGCCACCGTGGCTCCCAGCATGGCTCTACCTTCAGCCCATGACCGCTGCCCCAACAGAGGACACAGCCCCCTGGGGGCAGGAACAACATGACTGCTTCCCGAGAAGTGAGGGGAAGCCAGCTTTTAATTATAGCTAACTGCGCTTCTGCTTGGCTTTTACTGCAGAGCCCGTCACCATGTACCTCCAGATGCTGATGGAAGTTGTACCACCAGAGGAGGCTCCAGAGGAACGGGCCTAGCCTCCGGGAGCCACATCCAAACCGCGATGAATTTATTTTTGTAAGCAATATTTGTGGTTATTTCCTCCTGATGTTTTTCCTTAAGAAAAAAAATGTATTCAGATGTTCATACTATTGTTATTTGTAGACATCCTCATTTCTCTGGGTGGGGGCTCTAGAGAAGACAGATGTTTGCTAAAGTTAGCAGGCGGAGATGTGGCGGCCAGGCTCAGCAGACGACGTGACCCATGCCAGGACTCCTTACCAGGGGCAGGCATATCACACTTACCTAAACTCAGTGATCAATAGGGCATATATATATATATATATATATGAAGTATATATATTTTACATAAAATAGGTAAAACTTTTGCTTCAGTTGAAATAGATTTTTAGCAGACTAAAGTGCAGATGTTTTACTACCTGCGCCCCTCTCCCTCCCCCCCCCCCCCCCCCCCCCCCCCCCCCGCCCGGAGTACTGAGCCCCTGTATTTTACCCTGGATGTACCAGGCGGGCCTACCCCAGGCTAATTGTCAAGGCCCCCACTGCATAGCGGACCATCCAGAACCATCCACAGCCTGGTGCCCACGACAGGAACTACAATCAGGGGCAGGCCCCCCCGCACCCCACCCCAACCTTCACTGGCACTCGGGTCAAACTAGAAAGGGCGGTAGTGAATACAATTGTTTTGCATTTGGCACTCAGGGAAAATATGGTTTAAAAAAAAAAGTGAACTGTCATTTCTGTGAAAACACAAATTTTATTGATATACTACAAAAGACCTTCACACCACGACTCTGTGACCAGTTCTAGAAGCATAGAGACAAAAGTACTCTTATTTTGCATTTCAGAAATTTTCCCCAAACATGAAATCAGTATGTATTAATAGAACAAAAAAAATTGGTATTTGTTTACATTTCACAAGTCACTGTCTCTGTCCTACAAAATGTTATTCAGAACTTCAAATGGTAAATTTAAATGTCTGAAACAAAGAGATCCAGATTTAAACATCTAGCGCAGCCTCCCACGATTCCCCTCGGGCTATTTGTGAACAACTCTAGAGAAGCTGGACCCCGCCCCCCCACACCAATTTAGGCAGCTCTCACTTACTCTTACTGTTTGCTATGTTTTACAAAAGAGTGAATATAAGCAGGTGGCCAGCAATCACGGGGCAAGCCAGCGCCGCTCAGGAGGCCTGGCCACCCGTCCAGAGGCCTCCCCCAGTGGGAGCGCAGAAGCTCTACCTACAGGCACCTGCTGAGGACATTATAAGAGCTCCGCAGAGTCAAGCCTACCTCCGCCAGCAAACACCCCAGGACTTCCGACCTCCCGAAGAGCCTGCCCAATTTAGCCCAGGAAAAGGACAATCACCCCGGTACTTCGTGGGCCAATCTGACACCCGCCAAGCAGCCCGTGGGAGTCCCGGCGGCAGCCACGCGGCTGCCCACCCGTCCTCCCACCGGTGGTCTGGGGCCGGCCTCCCTCACGGCGCCCCCGCCCCGAAAGGCGTCCAGGGGTGGCCCCTGGAGCAGGAAGGCCACGCAGCGAGCAGAAGGTCTTATTTTACAGATGAGGAAACTGAGAGTCAGAGTGTGATCCCAACCTGCTCACGGGACAGCCTGGTAACAGTTTGTTCAAGCTGTGGCTTACCTACCGGGACCTCTGTGCTTTCTGAAGTGTGACAATAAAGGTCTTGGGGGCAGTCACAACGGTCACGCTCGGTCACCCTTCTTTCCCGCCTCTAGGCAAAGCGGCTGCCTCCTACTGAAGACAGACACAGGGCTGACATTTCGCTCCCCTCTGCAACTCTTCTGGCTACCAGGGCAGGTCCGGCTCGGGGCGCTCCCGCAGTCAGGGGGCCATGCCTGGACGGCGTCCTGGGTGCTGCAAGCGCTCCCCACACCCAGCTGTTCCGAGGGTCGCCTCCAGGCGCCCCCCTACGTCCTCTTCTGTTTCCACCGAGGAGAAATCTTCGTCCCGAGTGCCCAGGACGGTGCAGGGCCAGGCAGGGCTTCAGAAGCAGCAGCTTTACCTCCAGAAGCCACGGGTCTGGCTGGTGACAGCCGAGGTGACCCCGCTCGCACCCCTGGTCGATCCGCAGGTCGCCCCCAGTCTCCCCAGAATATTGCAAGTACAGGTCCACGGGTCGTTCTGTTGAATCCCAACCAGCACGGGGTAGAAAGCATGAAGTTGTAAGCCGGAAACCTCAATTTATATGCACAACACCAGGGTTTCGGCAAGGTACCAGGCCAGGTCTCCGGGAGAAAGTGAACAGACCAGCTCCGGAAAGGACAATTCATCCCCCAAACGGCACACTGTGCTCCCCGCTCCTCAGGGCGAGTGTGCTGGGGACAGGCTCCGTGCGAGAGGCCGTGCAGCTGGACGCTGGGCCCCCGTCGGGCCAGTGCCCACCCCCCCGAGTCCCTGCACCCCGTCTCTCACCAGTACCAATCCCAGGGGCCCAGGATGACGCCTGGTCAGAATTTATCCTTGAGTCAAAGACCGGTCTGGCTGTGAGTGCTTGTTTCCGGAGCTCCCGGCCACACGACGCGTCCGTCCGCCCGTCCGCACCTGACTCGTGCTCATTCACTCTCACCGCCGTCACCCTCCGACGTCCGGCCACCGCTCTCAGCCACCTCTGCCACTCTGCCCGGCAGGTTTTTAGATTTCACAACTACAAGAGTTCGAAATTATTGAAAAATCTGTTAACTACAGACTCAGCACATCTCCCCCACCCCCTAACCCTGCCATTATTTTGGCCAATGCAGAAAAAGTCCCTTAGGTTCTAGAGCTCTATTTTGTGACTTCCTTTATATTTTCATTATTTTAGGCAAGAAATGAGCAGGTAAAATGTGCCTGCTTAGAAATTAATTATCCTCCTGGGATGAAAATCTGTAGAAGTGTTGTAAGAAGGCATGCTTATAATTAAGAGTTGATACCTCCCCAAACCAGAACATTTAGCACCAAGACTGGCCACAAGGAGAAAACCAATTCCTAAGGGCTTCACCGTAACGACCCACTCCCCCAAGGGCCGCAGTCCTCAAACCATGGCACTCAGCACCTGCGACTCCCCAGGAAGTGGGCACACCCCATCTTACCCTGGGGGAGCTGGCTGTCCTCTTCACCTTCTTCCCAGTGATCGAAATCAAAAGCCACATTAGGATTCTGTTCAAGAGAACAGGTGACATTAAATGACAGAGCAAGTCACGCTCGGGGCGTTGAGACCAGCCACAGACCCTTTCCACTCACCCTCTGTTTGAGTAAGCTGCACCAAGATCCCCTGGTCTCTTTTGCAAGAGTGATCACAGGTTCCTCGTTTGTGATCACGCATTTGCAGGCGTCTTTTGCTATGTTGGCCTGCAGCTCCATGTCAGCCAAGTAAAACTTCTCTCCCGCCCAGCCACTAGGTGTACAGAGAGAAAGGCCAGTCTTGGAACATGTTAGAAGTGATTTCAATTGTATGTCTACAAGACACACATAAACCTACCTGAAAATGACTCTATCTTGGAAATATTCACATTTGTAATCTTTTACGTTCCTTATTCTTATCTTCAGTATGACCACATCATCTTTTTGGAACCATTTTATCTGTGGGTGGAAGCTAGGAGAGAAGACGATGGCTTACGCGGGCGCACGAAACATTCACTGGGGGGTGGGGGGAGGGGAGGGAAGCCGACCCCGGCCATGGGGGGACGTACCTTTTCAGGGGCTCTGTGGTTCTGTGAAAGGGAGAATCACTTGTGTTTTCAGGTAAAGTTTCTGGGCAGAAAGTCAAATGTTCCAGTAAGTTATTTATATGTAACCGTATACTCCACGTACCTATCAGTACTTTCACGCACTTCATGCAACTTTTAGTCGAGCAACTATTGACAAAGAGTATCAGTTTCCAAGTATCCACTCGCAAAGAATAATTAGAAGAAATTAAAATGCACCACATTTAGTAGAATAAAAACGGGTTCTGACAAATACTATAATTAAACCATCAGGTAAGTCAAATCACTCTGGAAGGGAGCAGTGTTACCACTGGCGGCCATCGTAACCTGCGAGGCCCAGGGATGCCCACCGGAGGAGAAGGCACCTGGTCGCAGAGCTCTGTGAGGAACCAGTGCTGAGCATGACACTTCCTAAAACACCACCATTTGAACTTCTCGGTCTAAAGCCCCCGAATCTTCCATCTGAAGACTGAGCAAGAATGTTCACAGCAGCTTTACTCATCGTCAAAAACTGAAAGCAGCCTCAGTGTCTCTCAAGAGGTGAACGGATAAATAACTTGGGGTGTGTTCAGATCACAGAATGGCACTCGGGTAAGAAGGTGCCACCACTCCCTGTAATCTCCTAGATGAATCTCAGACAGAATGCCGGGTGGGAGAGGCCCCGAGAGCGCACACTCTGTGCTAATTCAGCGGAACTGATGGCAATGGACGTCAGGATGGTGGTTCCTGGGAAGGGTTTCAGGCGGGGAAGATGTGGGAGCGAGATTCCTGGGGCTCTGGAAATGTTCAACCCGCCTCATCTGGGTGCGGTCCGTGGACACAGATACACATGTAAGTGTATGTAAGAGCTGTGTGTGCTTCCCTGGATCAACATTATACCTCAATTAACAGAAGGCAAAAGTCATTAAAAAAACATTGGAAGCTGAATTGTCAAAAACAGGAAGTTAGATAATACCAGTTTATGTCACCTTCTATCTAGAATTCATCTGAAAGTGGAAACCCTCAACATTGGAAAACTTCCAAGCTTTCATGATTTTAAATGAGCCATGTTTTTTTTTTTAAGATTTTTTTTTTTATTTATTGGGGGGGGGGAGGGGGAGGGAGAGAGAGAGAGAGAGAGAGCGAGCGCGCATGAGCAGGGGGAGGAGGGGCAGAGGCAGAAGCAGACTCCCTGGCTCAGCAGGGAGCCCGATGCGGGGCTCGATCCTAGGACCCTGGGATCATGAGCTGAGCTGAAAGCAGACGCTTAGCCGACTGAGTCCCCCAGGCGTCCCTAAGTGAGCCATGTATTAAATCACCAACCATGCTTTTGGTTTTCTGGTTTTGTCCCGGAGTGGGAACCTCTTTCCGAGCCTCTGTCCTCCTGCTGTGGGCTCTGCGGACAAGCAGCATCTTCTGCTGGAGAAGGCGCCCTGGACGGAAGAGGTGAAGGTTAACTCGGAGTTGAAGAGACGGCAAACTCTGGCTCTCTACGGGGCCCTCCCAGCAAGAAGAGGAAGGCAGGCAGCCACGGACGGCCCAGACGGCGAGGTGCTTACCCCACCATCAGACCTGCCCCGGGGTCAGGACTCAGGCCCGGAGGCCGGGCAGGGCCAGCAGCTCTGCTCACTGCTGTGCCCCTTGTGGCGAGCCCAGAGCAGATCATCGATCCATACTGGCCGATAAGTGCATTAACTCATTTACCAAAAAATTCTCTTTCAAATCATTTAACCTTGAGAATAACCAGCCCTGCTACCCACTTCAAAATGGATAAAAGGGGAGGAAGTAAAAGCATCTCTGCACCCCTGCCCTAGTTCCTCAGCTCCTCCTCCCCGAGATACCCCCTTACCAGTGGGGCTACTTCTAGAAACGCGCTTTGCATAAACAAGCATATAATGCTATCTGTATCTAAAACACACATACACACCATTTACACACGTGGAAATGGACTCCATTCACTTTTCTGCTCCTTTGATTATACTTAGTAACTAGAGATGGATTACTCCATATCAGTACACAGAGGGCTGCCTCATTCTTTAAAATTTTTAATTTTTTTTTGAGCAGATAACCATTTTCATGTGGTTCAATGTTTTGAAATTAATGAAAAGGTCTTACACAGCAAAACGTCTCCCTCACGTCTCTGTTCCCCAGCCACCCCACTGCCACCCCTCATGGGTGACAACATAATTCATTTTTTGTGCATCCTTCAGAGAGAATTCAAGCCTAAAGGAGCAAGCCCATGCAAACACATGCACGCACACCTGTGTGCACACACACACACATCTATGGCGTGGGGGGTGTGCATGTGTGTCTCCAAGGGGACTTCTGGCCGACACACACAAAGCCTGTGAGTGGCACCCCACAAACCCCACAAATGGTGGAGGCAGCATCTCGTTTCCAACCACCCAGGCAGGGGCCCCTGTGCAGGCCCCGTCCTCCCCACGGAGCAGCGCCACACCCTCCACCCCCCCCCCTTCCACCACGGCTCCCTCTCCTTCACCAGACCCTCATCCACCGGGGTTCCGTCCCCCCTCGTCACACACTTCCCGAACGGTGGCTCTCCTCCGCTCCCAGCAAATGAGTCTTCCCCCGCAGCTTTCCTGAGCTCCGGGCTGATGTTTTCAGCCATAATCTTTCAATCTGACACGTCCCAAACCAACTTGCGATCTCCTCCTACCCAACCGGCACCGTGACACCATCCACCATGCCAATACCCTCCCCGCCCAGGGCTCAGACTCTACAATCACACCCCCGACGTCTGCCGGTCACCAAGCCCTATGGCTTCCGGAGCTTTCATGTCCCCAGCACCTGTCCTCTTTCCCAGCCTGCTGTAGGAGTGGCACCCTTCTCCTCCTTCTGATCCAGATTACCACCATGGCTTCCCCATCCAGCTCCTGAAATGGAGTCTCTGCGGGGCAGGCTCCATCTGTAGCACCTCGTTCACCGTCCTCTGCACGCCCGCCTCGTGTGTGTGCCCACAGGTGTGCCAGACTGCTGCACACGCGCAAAACCGAGCGTGCAGAGGGCCGAGCGCAGAACAGAGCCGGGGCTCAGGTGCAGCTGCTGTGTTCCACAGGAGTGGCCGAGCCTCGTGGTCATCAAATCTACTAAACTCTAATGACAGCTGTTTTTTTTAAAAAAAACACGGAGCAACTTTTGTTTCCTGAAAGTGTGTAGAAACAGACGTGTCTCCTAATCCCACGGGCATCCAAATTCATTAAGATAAAAATTAACAACTTCAGGTTCAAGTATTTTAACTTTTGCCATGTTGTTTGAAATTCTGCTGCGTTCATCAGTCACCAGGGGCCCCAGGCTGACCCCGTGGCCGTCTCGCCGTGCTCACTTGTCGGGCCTCCTGGCGGCGTGTGGCAGGCTCACAGCTCCCTGCTCCGGGACACCCCTCCTCACCTGCCCTCTGGGAGTCAGCCCTCCCTGGCCTCCTCCGACGCTGCTGCTCCTTCTCAGGCTCCCCTCCGGGGTCCCCTCAGCCGCCCACCTCCCAACACTGGGCCCCCCGGGCTCAGCCCTTGGACTTCAACACTCACTCCTTCGGGCTCTTACCCAGGTCCCGGCTGTCAGGACCCAGGACCTGCCAACGAGCCTCCATGAGACCACACCCCCCCCAGAACTATATTCGGAAGCCAGCTACTTCTGGCCACTTCCACAAAGCCGCCCCAGCCCAAGCCACCAGCACCCTGTCCCGAGCTCTTGGCACAGCCTTTGTCCCCCACCCCAGGCTCTTCTCAACACAGTAGCCAAGGATCTTCTGACTAAATCATTCCTCTGCGCAACACCTTCTCATGGCTCCCCTCCTCAGGGCGCGAGCCCGACCAAGGCTTGCAAATGGCCACGGGGTCCGACAAGATCCCACCCAGGTGGCTCTGACGCGCGCACCTAACAGGTCTTCCCGCGTTTCTGCTCTAGTCACAGCACCTTCCTCCCCGTTCCCGGAATCAAGGGATAACTGAGCGGGCTCTGTGACCGCCTCGTGGGGGATGCCAGGGACTTCCACAGTCTCTCACGTTTGGCTTGTGGAAGTGTCAAGTGGGACAACCGATCTGGAACACTACTGGGCACCAGCTCTAATGAGGACTCCACAGTTCCGTCCGTGCACCAAACACACGTAGGAGAACGTCGACTGTACCACCACCTGAAGGGGCCCAGGGCAGGGAAACGTCTCCCCTCAGCAGCAGAATGGGTAAATGGTACATTTATGGAACATGCACATGATGGAGTCTTATGCAGCAGTAAGGACTTATGATCTGCAGCTACACGCACACCACGGATGAATCTCACAAACTGTGCCAAACTCAGGAAGCCAGAGAGGAGAGCCACACGGCTTCATTCCTGTCAGACACGGTACAACCCAGGGAGAGGAGTCCGTGCTCTCCAATCAGGACAGCGGTTGCCCTCGGGGAGGGAGCGGCAAGAGGCGGGGCTGATCGTGCCGGCTTTCTGATCTGGGGTTGGTTTCTGTCCTCAGAAAATCCACTGGCCTATACTTACAGTGTATAGACTTTTCTGTACGTCAATCAACAGCTAACAAAAACTTACTCTGTGAGAGATACAGGTGAAACAATACTCTTGGGATTGGTTTTATAATATTCCACCAAAAACAAAACTATACATTGGGGTATGGATAAAATCAGATTCCCCAAATCTGAGAAATCATCGAAGCTGAGTGACGGAAACATGGAGACTCAGTAATCCATTCAACCTCCAAAAAAAAAAAAAAAAAAAAGTCTCTAAGCTCCTGAGTTCTATTCCTACAAAACCGCACTTCCAAATGGGAGACAAAACCCCACTTACAGGGCCTGGCTCAGGCTTTCTTCATCAGGTGGCATTTTAGCTCGTTCGTGTAACGTCTTCAGCTGTTCTATATGCTCCGAGTTGTCAATGCCCATTCCCATCGACAAAATTTCAGTACGAACATTATAATCAATAACAGAGGTCTTCAAATTTGAAAGTTTGGTAATGTGCACCTTGAATCAAAGAAAAAGTCTATTTGCAGGAATCAGGCTTTGAACTTTCAAATCAATGGAAAATGCTCGTGTGACCTCGCGATCTCACTGTCACGCTGGGCGCTCACGGGCCTCCCTCAGTGGCTTCCAGCTGATTTCGTAACTGAGGTGACACGTGAGATTCTTCCAGAGCCCACTCCCACACTACAGAAGTACGATGAGGGCTGGGGTTGGGGGGGTCCCTGTAATGCTTGGACCACACACAAAATTCTTAGATCTTTCTAACTTTTTCTCTCTCTTAACAAGGAGGACCCTAAGGCTCAGAGACGTCAGTGCCCAGAAAGGGCCTACACCATGGCCCTAAATCCTATGCTCTGAGCAGTTTCCTCCACTGGTTTTTCTTTTGCAACCAAAATATTCTCATCCATCTTAATTTACACAAAATATGAGGTTTTGCAACATTGAGATTCCTGTCGATGGGAGATGCGGACCCAGGACTGGGACTGGGCATCCCCTTCATGGCAGCGGTGGGCGGGCGGAGCCAGGACAAGACCAGCTGGGGCCCCTTCCTAAGGGAACACCAGGAATGTGTTCCCATCTGGGAATGGCAGAAGAGCCTTTCTCCACTCAAACTGGGGGCTGAGTGGTCTGGGGAGAGAAGGAAGTGTATGGGGGTCTGTCTCCCCTCCACCATGCCATGGACACCACTACATGAGCTGTGGGAGCAGAATGCCAGGTGGATTTCTTTTTTTTTTTTGCTTCTTCATTTCCTTAGCTATTGTCTTAAAAATCTCTAAAAGTTTCCATTTTGGGGGCATCTGAGTAGCTCAGTCAGTTATGTGACTGCCTTCGGCTCAGGTCATGATCCCAGGGTCCTGAGATCAAGCTCCGCATCGGGCTCCCTGCTCAGTGGGGAGTCTGCTTCTCCCTCTCCTGCTCCCCCTGCTTGTGTTCCCTCTTTGTCAAATAAATAAATAAAATCTTTAAAAAAAGTTTACATTTTTTTTTCTCCAATTAAGAACCAGAATACTGGCTATTATGTAAACCAAGACGCCAAATCTTCATTTGACCTCTACTGGCAATCTTTACCTTCTCTATTAAAAATCACTGTCTCCTCTGAACTCTTAAATCTTACACCCAAACTCCTCTTTTTAGGTGTTAAGGCTTTTCCAGTCTCATAAAAATAACTTTTAGCAGAACCATTTTATGAACCGAATTCTTTTAAATGTTATACACATACTGATTAAGATTTAAGTCCAGTGGAGAACTTCAGATTGAAAAGCAGAGTTCTTGGGGTACGAGCGGTCAGAGGAGGTGATGCTAGCATCGGAGGGGATGCAGGGAGGCCCCACTTACAGGTTCTGGTCTGACACTCAGCCCTGCCCACCACTGTGGCAACTCCACCAAGTAGGAGTTTCTGTTCACGGGCAGAAGCCAAGTGTCCCACACCGGACCTAGCACAGAATGGGTGCTCGATAAATATCTGATGAAGGAATATATGATTCAAGCAACAAATGAGAATTTTAGGGGTCCATCCAAAAACAGATTTCTTTTAAGAAAACCACATACTCAGGGCGCCTGGGTGGCTCAGTTGGTTAAGCGTCTGCCTTCGGCTCAGGTCATGATCCCCGGCCCCTGGGATCGAGCACCACGTTGGGCTCCCTGCTCAACGGGATGCCTGCTTCTCCCTCTGCCCCTCCCCCCATTTGTGTGCGCCTCCCCCCCCAAGTATATAAAATCTTTTTAAAAGAAGAAAACTGCATACTCACCATTGGATCAATCCACACTGTATTTCCTAAAGCCAACATCACTTTGGCATCATGTAATTTTCCAATAATTTTATGATGAATGTACCTAGTAACCTAAAAAAAAACCACTTAGGTAATTTCTCTGAAGTTTGAGGAAAATACCTTATTCTGTTTATGCTGTATAGCTTTGCAAAAAACGTCTCCATGCATTTCACTTGAGCCTTACCCCCACCCCATGAGGCAGGTTACAGAGGCCCTCGTGCCCCTGCGTGGACAAGGGTAATTAACAGGGGAGCTGAATAAGGACAGAGGGAAATGGCACCTCTGGACCCCCCAGGCTGCATGTTCCCCATTTGCGGCCATGTGTCCTAGGCTCTCCTCTGTGAACAACAAGTCTGTCTCTGGAAGCTCACTGAGCCTGAAGAAACCCTGGAGCTGAGGGGCCCCGGGCTTCCGTGTACCCTGTCCCGAGCACGTGGCTGATGTTTGTCTCAAGCAGGGCCCCAGCAGACCTGACGTGCCGGACTACTCCTTCAGGCCCATTTCCACTCCTGTAAAGCAGACAGGAGGGAGCTGGCTCATCAAGATTAAGACTGCTTCCATCCCCCTTGAACCTTGCACAGTCATTTGAAAGAATATGCATGGGAGAAACCTCCCCCTTTTTCTGGAGGCCCCTCTTCAAGAAATACTTGTGGTTGATCGTCCTGACAGACCAAAGATTTCTTGAAGACAAGAACCATGACCTTCTTGCTAATGGCTACGTCCCCAGAGCCCAATGGTACCAGCCCACAGTGGATACTCTTAAATACTTTGCAGAAGGAAAAAGACCACTACTTAATATGGAGTATTTTTACTGAACTTCAACAGTAGTGTTGTGTGGTCATCCTGTATTGTGAAAACACTTACCTGTTTATTCCCTGGACCGTGTCCAACCTTGTTTATAACCCAAACTGTTTTTACTTTGCCAGCTGCAATGGCTTATTTCATGTCCTATTAATTGGATTATATGAAATTTAACCCTCCTTTGAAGAACCAAGCGCATCATTAGGAAGACGACTCACTGCTCTGCTGATAAGCGGGACCAGCCGTCTGGTGAGCCACGGGAGCCCACCTGGGACGGCTCTTTGGTGTACCGTGTGTTCTCTCCACCTTCAGTGCCTCATCTGGTCTACGTGGGGACATCCTAACGCCTCTTCCTGAAGGGCCCAGAGGAAATGCCCTTCCTGTGCTCTCTTTCCTTGCCCGCCCTCCCAACCCCAGGGGAATGAGCTGGCCTCTGCCTCCATTTGATGGGGGTACCCACAAGCTGACAGCCAACTTATTTCATCGTGATGCATAGCTTATACCAAATCTAAGGCTGTGAGTACTAATGATGATGACGACCACCCGGGGGAGGGTCTTTAACTGTCAGGAACCATGAGGCATCTTAGTCAAACTCAGTACTCTAAATTTGAATAAACCTTGATTCCGTGTATATTCTGAAAGTCAACAAAGTACAAAAAGCCAAAATAACTTAACCTTTGGATTCCACTCAACTTCATTGTCAGCGGGTTTCACTCTGCAAACAATGAACTCCACCGCCTGGGGGGGCAGAGTGTGGAAATTTTCCGGAAGATGCAGCAGTTGGTCCCTTGTGACGAGTCCAGTCCGGCCTTCATCTATAAACTTCACAAGGACGCTGTCCGGACCCCAGGTGTCTTCTTTTTGGCTCAACTCCAGCACCTCAACCCTGGAGAACAACCGTAGCTTCGGAGTAACACAGAGATCCCAAAGGAAAATCATCTTTGCCTCCCCACCTACTCATTAAATCCAAGAAGACTCTAAACTGCAAGGTTCTTTTCCATACTAGAAATAAAAATTAGCTCGCGCCCTCAAGAACACTCAGAATGGCTTATTCAAGTATACAGATTATAAAGAATGCGTACTACCTTTGACTAGAGTAAATCCCTTTATCGGACAACACGATGAAAATCAACTCAGTCAAGTGAAGTTTCCACGTTTCACGGTTGAGCCTACCCCGAGCGGAGCCGGGAGCGGCACGGGAACACCGACCGCACAGCCTACGTCACCCCGCCACGGCTCAGCCTGCTCATCTGTGAGAGGGGACCCCATCTCACGGCAATCACGTGAGCATGGAGTGAGGCGGAGGCGTCTATGTAGGTGGCACAGGGACGGCTCTGGAAGCGTGACACCGTCTTCCGTGCCCTGTGCTCTGGAGCCAGGAGCCCAGGGTCAGGGGAGGGTCAGGTGCAGAACCACGCCGGGAGGCTGGGGGGGGACGCAACGCTGCCACCCCCCACTCCGGGGGCCAGGCTACATCCGTGCACACCGGGGCAGATGGACACGGGTACAAACAGGGATTCGATACCACTGAAAGGTGCCTCCTGTTTCACAACTCTTAAGATGAAATACATAAGACCTTTTACCTGTGATAAAGTGTTTTTTCTGCTAATCCATATAATCTGAGTTTCTCCACCTTTTCAACAGTCGTTTTATTGCTGTTACCCTTAAAATACTCATTCATTTCAGCATTAAGAGTTGCATAAAGATCCACTTGTTTATCAATTATACGACCAAAATAATGCGTTGCATTCGAAATATAAAAGGGTATTATCTGAAAAATAATCAGCAAACATATTCAGAAAACAAACTCAATCTAAACCAAAAAGCTATCTGCAGAATCAGCCCCTGACCTAAGAGCCCAAAGTGCGCCAACAGGGATGGAAACATGAACCAGGAAACGCCGACACACGACAGAACCTTCCTGTACCCACAGAGGACCGCGGTTTCCCTTTAAATCTAAGGGAAAACTTTCTGTTAATCTTATTATTTTAAAACTTTATTATTGTGTTTGTTTACTCCATAACTGCACTTTATAAAAATCATTCTTAAATAGCATCCCTGTCTCTTGAGTTCTTTCTGATCTTTGTTCCCCTAACAAGCAGTATTTTGTGTAGGAGGCGCTAGGGATAGGAGATAAGCCACATCCTACGGACAGATGGGCCGCAGCTAGCGTGTGGTCAAAGAAGACAACTCTTCACAGGCAAGGGTCTGCAGGGTGGTTGGTGTGCGAGGGGCAATGTCGGCGTGCACGTGTGTCAGCAAGAGCACGGAGAAGGCACTGCAGACCCGGAACAACCCGCGTGAAGGCGGGGAGTGGTGGGCTGCCCCAGCAGAGGCCAGGACAGAGGAGTCACCTGTGGGAAGGCAGAGGGGGCAGTGCTGAGTGGGAGGCAAGCAGGCTAGAAGGCAGGGGTGAGGTCACCCCTGGTGATCAATCTCACAGGCTGACAGCGCCTAGCTCTCCTCTGTGGCACCCCTGAGCCCCCCGGCTTGCTGTTCCCCCACTCTCACCGCCAATGAGCTCTGCCCTGTGCCACAACACGCCACGTTATCTGCTTCCTCTCCCCGGAACAGTCTTCCCCAGGTTTTCCACGGCCGGGTCCTTATCCTTGGGCCCTCGGTGCAGCTGACCCCTCAGAGAATGTCTCCCTGCCCATAATCCCCACAGGCCCTCTGGTACTTTGGTGCATTTCACCTTCTCCAGAGCACTTGTCACCATCTTTCCCACTCACCTGTTCCAGAAAGACCCCCGCAATGTGCCCACAAAACCCCCAGTCCTGGGCACACAGGGTTTTTTTCCAGCCATACTGCCCCCCCGCCAGGCCCCAACTGTTTTGACTCCACTCTCACGAGCAGTCCTGTACATAACTAATTCACTCTGTTACAGTCACAGGATATGAGGTAAGGACATAAAAATCAACGGCATTTCTAAACAATCAGAAAACGAAGTTCAAAGAAAAGTAACATTAGCATCTAAAAACATGAAATGCCAGGAATAAAGTTAACACAGTAAGGACGAGATCAGTCTACTGAAAAGTGTAACACATTGCTTAGAGAAATTAAAGGTGACCTAGATGAAGTGACAGATATACCATGTTAATGGACAAGACTCGGTATTGTTTTGTTTTGTTTTTAAAGATTTTATTTATTTGACAGAGAGAGACACAGCGAGAGAGGGAACACAAGCAGGGGGAGTGGGAGAGGGAGAAGCAGGCTTCCCACGGAGCAGAGAGCCTGATGCGGGGCTCTATCCCAGGACCCTGGGACCATGACCTGAGCCGAAGGCAGATGCTTAACGACTGAGCCACCCAGGTGCCCCAAGACTTGGTATTGTTAAAATGTCAATTCTTCCATATCAATCTACATACTCAACGCAATGCCAGTCAAAACCCCATCGTCGGGCTTCTAAGTACAAACTAGCAAGCTGATTCTAAAATTCTCTATGGATATGCAAAGGAATAGTCAGAGGAATACTGAAGAAGATGGGCAAATTGGAAGGCATCCCTACCAGTCTCCAGGATTACTTACAAAGCTATAGCTATCAAGCCAACGTGGTACCACATAAGGGTAGACACAGAGACCAAGGAATAGAATGAAGAATTCAGAATTCACAAATACTGTCTTTTAATTTATGTCAAAGGTGCCAATGTAATTAAGGGCAAAAGGAAGGTCTTTATAATAGACGATGCTGGAGCAACCAATTATCCAGAAGGAAAAAATCTGCTCCTTACCCACACCACACATACACAAAAATTAATTTGAAATGGATCATAGACCTAAATGTAAAACCATAAAACTTCTAGAATAAAAAAAATAAGAAGAATCTTTGCAATCTTAGGAGAGGCAAAGATTTCTTATGGCATGAAAAGCACAAAACATAAAATAAAAAAGTGATAAAGAAGACTTCATCTAAATTAAAAACTTCCGCTTTTCAACTGAGGGAAAATATCTGCAATATATCTGACAAAGCATATCCATAATCTACAAAGAACTCTTAAAACTCAACAAGACAACCCAAATTAAAAAAATGGGCAGAAACTGTGAACAGAGAGTTCATAAAAGATACAAAGGGCTAAATAAACAGTGAAAAGGGGCCCAAGATTCTTTATCACCACAGAAATGCAAATAAATATCCTTGCAAGTGCAACAGAGTGGCAAAAATTAAAGACTGAGAACACCATGTACTGAGAATGTGGACCCACTGGCACTCTCATATGCAGCACTGGTGAAAATGTAAAATGGTACAAATTGTTTGGCAGATTCTTACACAGTTACCCTATGACACAGCATTTCCACTACATCTCACCCAAGAGAAATGAAGATGTAGGTCTGAAAAGACTTGCAATCCAGAAGTTCAGAGCATCCAGAAACCGCAAACAACCCAAATGTCCATCAACTTGTGAAGAGACGGACAAACTATGGCACATCAACATAACGGAATCCTGCTCAACTATGAGAAAGACAACACAGGTGAATCTCAGAAGCAGTACACTACATAACAGAAATCAGACTCAAAAGACTACATACTGTACGATTCCATTAATATGAAAATCTAGTAAAGACAGAGCTCTAGTGGCAGAAAGCAGGTCCGGTGGCTGCCGGGAGTGGGGGTTGGGATGAGGACTGACCACAGGGGACCAGGAGAGACCTTTTTGGGGTCATGAAAATGTTCGTATCTTCATTGTGGTGGTGGATACACGATTGTATGTATTTATCAAAACTCAACAAACTATACACTTCTAAACAGTGATTTTTATTGTATGTAAACTGTACCTCAATACAGCTAATTAGAAGTGGGGGTCTGGTTAGACAGGGTCTGGGAAGGTGGCAGCGCGGCAAAGTATCACATGTTTTGACTCTCTCTGAATCTCCACATAAACAGAGCAATGAGATGGCAAAACCAAATACCAGGGATATACTTTGCTACAGAACTAATTGGCAAAATATCACCGCAGACCCCCAAATAAAAGCAGATGAGGAAAATAACAAAAGAGAAAATCGAGGTGACCTTGGGTTTCATGATGAGCCTGTGGATAGGCCAAAAGCACAATCCATGAAAGAAACAATTGGAAAGCTGGACGTCATTAAAATTAAAAACTTCTGCTCTGCAAGACTATAAGGAGAACAAAAAGACAAGCCACAGACTGGGAGACAATCTTTGCAAAACATATTTCTGATAAAGGACTGGTGTCCAAAATCTACAAAGAACTCTTAAAACGCAACAATGAGAAAGCAGACGAACCAACTGAAACACGGGCAAAAAAACCTGGACAACTCACCAAAGAAGACATATGGGTGACAAACAAGCACATGAAAAGATGCGCAACATCATCAGGGAATTACAAATTAAAACAGTGAGACACCACTACACACCTACTAGAACAGCTAGAATCCAAAACACCGACAACAGCAAATACTGGCGAGGGCAGGAGCGCCAGGAGCTCTCACTCTTTGCCGGCTGGAATGCAAACGGAGCAAAACAGTCTCACCGTACGATCCAACAATCACACTCCTTGGTATTACCCAAGTTGAGTTGAAAACTCATGCGTCCACAAAAACCGCCACATGAATATTTCCCATAGCCTTGTTCATAATTGCCCAAACTCGGAAGCAACCAAGATGTCCCTCAGTAGGTGGATGGATAAACTGGTATATTCAGCAATAAAAGATGACCTACGAAGACAAGAAGATGTGGAGGAACCTCAAATGCATATTGCTAAATGAAAGAAGCCAGTTTAAAAAACCTATATATTGTATAGTTCCAATTCTATGACATTCTGGAAAAGGCAAAATAACGGGATGGTAAAGTATCGGTGACAACCAGGAGTTCCAGGGAAGAGGGGAAGGGTGGAGCATGGGGGATTTTCGAGCAGTGTTAAGAATTATGTGATACCGTCACAGTGGAGAGGTATCACTACCCATTTGGCAAAATCCCCAGAATGTGCACTATAGGGAGTGAATCTCAATGTAAACTACAGACTTCAGTTAATAATAACGTATCAATATTGGTTCATCAACTGTCACTCATGCACCACACTAATGCAAGATGTTAATAATAGGGGGAAGTTTTGGGGGGGATGGTAGAGGGAACTCTCTATTTTCTGCTCAAATTTTCTATAAACCTAAACTGTTCTAAAAAATAAGCATCAGTTAATTTAAACAACAACAATGACAAAATAGCAGATGAACAAAACCCAGCCAGATCACAAAGCCTGCATGGTGTCACTACCTGATGGAGCCAAACACAGGAGAAGTCTGTGAGTGGCAACAGGTACTCACTGGAAATACGGGGCTGGGGGTGGGGCAGGGGACAAGAGCAGCTGAGCCTGGAGGCTTTCATGCACTCCAACAACGGGCAAAGCCCGGAGCCCTGTGGAGTCTTGAACCGTCCAGCCAAAGACACCAGATATGAGGGAAGAGAGGCGCCAGACGCAAGTGGGGGAGGGAAACAGGGCCAGAAAATCTTAACAATCTCAGAAACGATGTCTCCTACTTTTTTTTTTTTTATAAGAAACGGAAATGAGAACTCTGAAATTGTAAGTCACCCTGACCCACACCTCCTTCTAAAATGTAAGGAAAATATATTTTATCTAAAAAGGAGCCGTAGCAAAGTATCAAAGTCAGATCCCATATTAAATCATAACAAAAAAGAGAATAAGGAGAGTAACAGTCCCTATAGATAATGTGAGCCACTAGGAAAGATGTATCCACAAGACAGACCCAAACTGTACCCCTCCATTTCAAAACAAGCTACCTATCCTCCCGTTCGTTAAGAAAGTAATAGGGCACTTGGCTGCCTCAGTGGAGCATGTGACTCTTGATCTCAGGGTTGTGAGTTCAAGCCTCATGTTGGGAATAGAGATTACTTAAAAAAATAAGACATAAGAGAGATACATATATGATAAATGACAGGTACAAAAGAACAACCTAAATTAAAAAAAAAACAACCAAAAACTCAAAGGAGGTGACAGAACTAGGAAGAATGGTGCAAATGAGAACAGACCCGCCTTAGGAGAAAGGGCAGGCGGAAAGGAGGGCGGTCTTGAACTCGGGAAGAAAGGAAGAACTATTAAAAAGGATTCAAAAGAAAGTGACACACTCTCAACTCAGTAATTTTATCTACATTTCAGAATTTTCCTCAAAGGAATAATCATGGATGTTTTGAAAAGATGTGCTATCGTTGCATTATTTCTAATGGTCCCCATCCCCAGATGAAGTGGTTTATCTATTTGCCCAATCTGACTTTGGTTTTCTAAATAAACTGGGGTCTTGAATTAAGGTACCTTACAAGGACCCATGCCTATTGTCAGACTAATGGTGGTTCATTAAGAGTGTCATAATTATTCCGCTGCTTTAGAATGAACCATGTTAAAGGGATGCTTAGGTGCTCGGTCGGTTGAGTGGCCAGCTCTTGGTTTCGACTTAGGTCATGATCTCAGGATTCTGGGACTTAGCCCTGTGTCAGGCTCCACACTCAGCAGGGGTATCTGCTTGAGGATTCTCTCTCCCCCTCCCTCGGCCTCTCTCCACCCCACACTCACGTGCTCACACACTCGCTCGCTCTCAGATAAATAAAGCAATCTAAAAGAAAAAAAATGAAATACATTCATTAAAATGATCATTAATCATTAAACAAAGTGCAGCAGAACGTACTTTGATGTATCCAAATGTTGGTAGAGTTTGATTGGATAATTTCCTTGGCATATCTATTTCTGGATTAACACGGTGTCTATCAGGACAGATCCTTTTGTCTCTGAAAAAAAGTAACTGGATTTTAAAAACAAAAACAATACTTTTTCACATGAATTTCAAACTGTTCTTCAGGAAAATTAATCTATAATTGAAATCAGGGGACCTTTATTCTAAATACTTTAAAGTAACAGTAACCATTTTAAATAATTCAGATGACACAACATGCACCTTAGTGAAAAGAGGTCCTAAAATCTAATTGACACTGAATAAACTTAAAGAGTTACTTCATTATTTCTCTATAGACATTCTGAAAATGAACAAAATGTACTTCCAAAATAAAGACTCTGAATCAGAAATTTATCACCACAACCCAAAACAAAGGCTAATAATTAACTTCTAAACCAGAAGTCATTCTGTAACCCAAACTGAGAAACAGTTAAAGCTTTGGTTTCAAAAGTCAACAGCATAATCAAAATCGCCACTAATAACCTGTTTAATGTACCATAGTTCAAAAAAGTTAAAGTCAACAGTTACCTTAAAATGAAGCTCAATCCAATCGATACACATCAGACATCTCCTACCATGTCCCACCAATCACTGATCAAGTACTGGCATCATGTCTGGATCAGTGAGAAGGCCCCCCATGACTGTTGAGATACCCATGCTCTCCAAACTGATTTATAGTATCAATGCACATGCTATCAAAAGTCAGGTAGTGTTCCTGAGGAAACTGACAAGCCTATTCCAAAATGTATGTGGAGATGCAGTTGACTTAAAATAGCCAAAACCACCTTGATGAAGAGCAAAGTTGGAGAACTTACATACCAGATTCCAGGACTCACTAGAACGTAAGCTACAGTGAGAAAATTCAGTACCAGTGTAAGGACAAAGAGACCAAAATAACAGAGAGTCCACGTGTAGACCTCATACACTGGTTTATGTAGTGGTCATAAACATCATCTGGTTTATGTCAAAGGCACCAATTCAGGGAGAACACAGTGATGTTTTATTATTTTTTTAAAGATTTTATTTATTTATTTCAGAGAGAGAGAGAGAGAGAGAGAGAGAGAGCATGAGAGGGGGGAGGGTCAGAGGGAGAAGCAGACTCCCTGCTGAGTAGGGAGCCCGATGCGAGACCCGATCCCGGGACTCCGGGATCATGACCCGAGCCGAAGGCAGTCGCTCAACCAACAGAGCCACCCAGGCGCCTGAACACAGTGATGTTTTAAATAAAGGATACTGGAGCAAGTGATTATCCACACAGGAAAAAGTAATCCTTGCCCCATATCTCACACTGTACACAAACATTAACTCACCCTAGATTACACACCAAAGTGTGAAAACAGTCTATAAAGCTTCTAGAAGAAAACAGAGAAGAGTGTCTTCATGACCTAGAGATCAGCAAGTATTTCTTACATTAGGACACAAAATAACATCAACCAGGAAATACTTCATCAAAGTTAAAAAGGTCTGCCCCTCAAAAGATTCTTACAAGAGCAGAAAGGCAAGCCATGGACTGGGAAGAGATCTTCTCTAGGCACATCTCTGACAAAGCAGTTATATCCAGATGGAATAAAGTACTCCCACAAACCAATAAGAAAAAGGGTAACACCCAATGGCAAAAATGGGCAAAAGACCTGAACGGGCACCTCACAAGAAGAGGCTGGTCAAATGTCCCACAGGCATGTGAAAAGACACTCATCATTAATTACTCGGGAAATACCGATGGAAACCACGGTGTGACACTCCCCCAGCTATGTCAGGGAGGGTGTGGAGCCACTCAGCTCTCGCATACATGGCTGATGGGATTGTGAAACAGTCACACACCTCCGGAAAGTTACACGTCTGCTCACCCTGTGACCCAGCAATCCCATGCCAAAGTCTAGCTTCCAAGGAAGCCAGTGCATGTTTCCACAAAAAGACACGTGCAAGAGTGTTCACAGCAGCTTCATACATAATAGCCAAAAGCTGGAAACAATTCACAGGCCCATCGCCAGGAGAATGAATACATACACTGTGATATATTTATACAACAGAACACTGTGCCACTGAATAGATAAATCCATCCATCGGATCCATGCAGGAACACAGATGAATGTCGCAAACAGTAGGCTGAATGTACAATTCCATTTATATGAAGTTGGAAAATGAGCAAAATTCATCAACGTGGACAGACAGTGGGGGCCGGTTACTTCTGGGGGAGGGCAGATTGGGAAGGAGCATGGGGGCAGCTCTAGGGTGTCTCCCAGAGGCGGGTGGCGGTGTGAATCGTGCGTACATACGTGAAGGTCCCCCAGCAAGAAACTATCACTGTGCCCTTTACTGTACATTCCAATTTTTTAAAAGATGACTGGCTTACTTGCAAAAACCAAAAGCCTTAAGATACGGACAAAGAGGCCTTCTGGCTTTTTTATCTTCTTTGGCTTCCAGAACCCCTGCAGTAAACTCATACAGCTCTGAGGGGATCTTGGCATCTGCCCGCTCCAGGTAGCGCAGGACGCCGACCGCGTGGCACGCGTTCCTCTCTGTCAGCAGCAAGACGGATTTGGATTTGGTCTTCTTATCTCCCTGTTCTGCAGGAGAACCCTTAAAATCGGGAGTGAATAAAGGCAACAGGTCATCCATCCCAGTCTAAATGACAAAACTTTGTGGACTCTGAATTTGTCATTGCACAGATAATGCCAGTAGAATATTTAAAGATCAAGAAAGTTCATCAAACCTGTTCGGTGGAACTCTGAAAATGATCAGACATGCAGTACAGGCGTCCACCAAAGATTCTGGGTGAGGAAGGAAAGCTGAAGTGAATCACACACGTGGCATCGGTGATGGTCAAGAGCGGTATGCAATCATCTGTTAAGGCTGGAGAGAAGGATCCGACAGTCACAAACGAGGCTGTTGTTTTCCTGCACTTACTACAGAGCAATTCCGGGAACCGGACTTGAACACGGTTCTCTACTGCATCTCACTTTTTAGATGCCAACAAACTTCTTCCCCATTTTTTTCCCCAAAATGTCACAGCCCAGTGATGACATTCCAGAGAAAAGTGGTCTCCCTAATTTTAGCTTGGAAAACACTTCTATTACAAATCTAGGCTGCCCATCAATCTTGCACTTATTTCATACATTTTTGACTTTTCGATCTCTAACATGGTATTTCACAACCATCTGTGACAGATTTCGTCAGAGGCACACCATGTTTACGTTCCGGCTGGAACCCCAGGGGGAAGGCCTACACTCAGAGCTCCGCAGGTCCCTGCCTTCACCTCGAAACCAAAATCTTGGCGGAGTTTAACCTTCATTTTGAAATTAACATTACTAATAAATTCTCAGTAAATCTGGGAAATGATGAGAAATTGGGAGACAAGCTAAACAGAAAAAACTGACGACATGATTCTTATTAGCTCAGCCTTCTCTAAATGGAAGTAGAAATTAAAACACTTACCTAATACAATGTGAGAGCCAGAACTTAACTTCTTCTTCCACTGTTCTAAAACACTTTTTAAATTAAAAACCATTTCTTTATGCATTTTCAAGCAAAATATTGAACTGCTTTCTACTACCTAAAGATGAAACCAAATAGGCCAGTTCACAGTCAGGAACATAAGCTTGAAGTTAATTGTTCCATCAATAATTATCAGTATAAAACATTTAAAATTATCTGTGAGGGTATTACCTCATTGATCCACAAATTGTAAGAACAAGATGATTGTAAACTGAAACAAATATATTTCTAAAATTCTATACTTTGTATCTAAAAACTTGCTTAAGTGAAAAATATTTTGCTAAAACTATTTTCCTTTTTAAATAATGGGTGTATACACAGATGTGTGCATATGTACGTACACACACACACATCAAATTTATGTGCCAATGTGTCACATTTTTTCATGACACCTCTAGTTCATCATTGCTGAAAGATGGATGTACTACTGATTCTTATATTTTTAAAATTTTTTTATAGAACCTTTTTTTTAAAAGATTTATTTGAGAGAGAGCATGTGGGGGGGGGGCAAAGGGAGAGGGAGAGAGAATCCCATGCAGACTCCCCATGAGCATGGAGCCTGCCGTGGGGCTCAATCTCAGGACCTGAGCCAAAACCAAGAGTTGGAAGCCTAACTGACTGCACCACCCAGGCGCTCCTGATTCTTACATTTTAATTTGTATTTGGCTTCATTTCTACATTTTACTATTTATGTAGATTTAGATTAAATAAATCTGTAGCCAATTTAGTTGGCTTTTCTGGCCACGTGATCTATCTCTTGGTGTTACACGGTCTCTACTTTTTTAAAGAGAGTACAGAGGTCCCTGGCATTTCTTTATGAATGGGATCCTTTTAATGACAAAACACAGAGCACTGGCCCCCTGGGGAAACATCTGCTTCCTCGGAAAGGCTGGTCCCACCTACTTGGCTCCTCCCTCAAGGTCAGGCCTCCTGCTGTCCTGCCTCATTGTTATGCATACTCCACAGCACTAGCCACCCCTTCCTTCAGACTGTTGATCAGCTTGTAACGTTTTATCCCCTGTCAAATTTATTTAACTACCGACATTTAGTCATAGTTTAAACAAACAGTAAGGACATTTAAGGGCTCACCTTACACACTATTTCTGTTTCAGCTACAGAGCCGGTGAAGATCAAGGTCTTTTGTGCTTGACTTGGAATGAAATCCAAAGTCTGGAGTAAAGTAGAGGTTTTTTCACATTCTAGGCAAAGGTGTACTACCTGGTAATGAAATACAGCAACAGTGTGGTTTTAAATGGTGCTCCAGTTTCACTTTTCATCGCTAAGTGAGGATCTGAACAGCAAAATGTACAGAAAATCAATATAAATCTAAATACAGGATTACAGATTTTTGTATGAGATTAAAGCTGTAATGGTTTAGGAGGAGGCCATGAATCACGGCCCCTCACTTGTGTTCGTCAGCCCCCACCTCCCACTGGCCCGTGAGCCCGCACCTGCTGGACGCTGCCATAGAGAGCGGCCTCTTCCACGGCTGTGACCACAATGTAGGGGTCGTTCATGAACCCTCCGACCAGCTGCTCTATATGTCTGCTCCAGTGAACGCCAACCGCAACAATCTGATGTGGTGCAGATTCCCTTTCTTCAACATCAATATTTTTTTTTAAGTTATCTAATATAGCAAACATCTAAAAAGATTAGTATAATTAATTTCGTTTTTATTTCAGAAGGGAGTAATAACTGGTTGACAGAACATGAAAGGTAAAGAATTGTACATTTTCTGTTCTCAGAGCGGGGGAAGGTGTTTCCAAACAAAAGAAAAAAAAAAACTAAAAAGGAAAGAATGTTAAATATAAACAAAACACAAACAATAGGTGAATGTGGAACATTATGTAACGAGGCATTAACATCCTTATATTAAAAAGTTCTACAAACAGACTAGAAAAAGATGATCCTGCCAACAGAAAATAAGCAAAGAAAATGAACAAGCAGCTCAGAGAACAGTTCGAGTGGCCAGTACAAAGGCTTGGCCTGACAAGTAATCAAGGAAATGCACGATGCTAACGAGATGCCACGTTTAACAAGCCCACAAGAAATGGAAGCCAGCCTGAGGCCTCCCACTGCCCGGGTGCGGGGCGCGTGGTGTGGCAGCACGCCGTCCACGGGAGTCTCCGCTTGCAGAAAGGCGACTGTACAGTGCAGTATCCTGGGTATTAGTTTTGCAAATCAGAACCGAGGCTTTAGAGGCATTCACAAACCCTGCATAGGCCCACACAGTCGGTAAGCAACAAAGCCTGGACTTGAACCTGGGGACATCACTGCTCCCAAATGAAATGCTTGTGTTCATCATGTTACACTGCGCCCAAGAAATGCCTTCTTGTAAGAATTCATAGTCTTTGATCCATTAATCCCCTTCCTAGGAATTTATCCTAAGGGAAACGTGCAAAAAAGACGTATGTTCTTTAGCCACATGCACACACAAATGCTGCTAAATGTCCAAAAATCAGACCATTTAAAAAAATTATGTTATGCCCACAGGATTCCATTCTGGCCCATGACCAGCAAACCATCAACCTGTAGGATAGTTATTAATTATACTCCCGATGCTGCTTACTGAAGAATGCAAGTTATAAACTAGCCATAAAATAAGGCCCAATGTCGTCAGTTTTAAGTATCAACTGACACAGAAATTATTCCAGAACAGGAAGAGTGGTTACCTCTGAGTGTAACTCAGTGGATGCTGGGGTTGTTCAAGTACTTTTCTCTGTATCCCCAATTTTCTAGAATAAAACTTATTGCTTCCATAATCATAAAAATATCAGTATTTTAGGAAACCTCACTGGAAAAGAATTTTTGGTCTTCAGAGAGACCTTCAAAATTTGAGAAAAAGGGACGACTAGGTGGCTCAGTCGGTTAAGCATCTGCCTTCGGCTCAGGTCATGATCCCGGGGTCCTGGGATCGAGCCCCACATCGGTCTCCCTGCTCCGCGGGAAGCCTGCTTCTCCCGCTCCCACTCCCCCTGCTTGTGTTCCCTCTCTCGCTGTCTCTCTGTCAAATAAATAACATTTTTTTTAAAAATTGGGGAAGGAAATTTCGGATGAACTCTCTTCACAATTATAAAAGTTAAAGGGAAAACTTTTCAAAATTAACTGGCTTTTTCTCCCAATAGACATGTCATCTCCTGATTCCTAAAAGCAGGTAAGACTTCAATCATACATACATTTATTTCTGAGGGATAATGACATCTCGATGGAAGCCATACTTACTTCTTCAGTAGCTTCAAAGAATAACACTTCCACCTCATCCAAGATGAGGTGACAGAGTCTAAGAAATAACAAGCTTTGGTATTTGAGAAGTCTCAGGAGGCTGTGGGGTGTTGTAACAATGATGTCACCTACATTTTAAAAGAGAAGACAATTAACATTCAGATTTTCCATAGGTTTTTCTCACACTTCCCTTGCTAAGATGCCACATACTTTCTAGGACTGCTGTCTAATGACGCAAAAAGTGGTTTTTCTTGCTGGGGCGGGTGAGCCCTGGCTGTCCGGGCCAACACTTGTCCTTATCTAGCACCTGGGCTCCCACCAGTGTTTGTGCTCCTGAAAGGCAGGGGTGGGGGTTCAGCTGACATCTAACGAACGGGAGGTATTCAATAAATAGTTAATGAGCGAAGGAAATCATGGCGCCTTCTCAGTGGAAGGGCTGTAAGCCAAGGTCGAACCTTTGCCTTTCTCTGCCTGCCCACAACGGACAGTGAGGTCCCACCTGTAGCTGGACTAGTGACATCGTCACACAAGCCCGTGTCCTGTGCCCCTGCCAGGCAGGGCCCCACTGCGCTCTGCAGGGAAAACCAAACAGCTTGGAAAGGATGCTTACACCCCCTTGGAAGCTTCATGTTTTTGGCTTCATCTTTGTGGAGTCCGATTATTAACAACATGGGATGAAGAGGCCTGGAGGATGTGCTATAATCTTCCAGTAATTCAAAAGTAAATTGGGCCTTTTTCCACCCAGGGCACACGATGACTGCCAGAGGCTGCAAAGACAAATTCACATAATTTGGGGCAAAAGTTAGGAACTGAACCTAGTCTATGTTGAAGCATGCAGAACATCTCCTTCCACAGAGTAAGCACTATATAATTTGTTTGCTACCATCATTGTCCTGTAAGTCAGAGAAGATATAATTTCATTAGAATGGATTTAGACACACGGACTCAGATTCCTCTAGGGCTTACACCAAGCATTTCACAAATATTAATTCATTTTGTCTTTAAAACACTCTCACAGGGTAGATGAGCGGCGTGAGGCACAGAGAGGTAAAGTTAGTTGCCCAAGGCCACACAGCTAATATGCAGGAGCAGTAAGATCTGAACCCAGGTGGTCTGGCTCTAGGACTCCTGCTCCCAGGGACCAGGCGAACTAACGGCCTCCTGAAAGGAGCTTTAGAAATGGTCAGCATCTCTTCTTTCGGGGTAAGTCTGCTATGGCTCCATCTGAACACTGAGGGCCACCATCCCACAGTTATCTCCTGTGAAGTCAGGCTGTGCTGCCTGCCAAACACCCTCCCGGACACATGCCCTCCATGAACTGAGGACAAGAACAAGTCTCCCCTCTCCTTCACGCAAGTCCAGGTAGGGCGCCAGCTTCCAGGCACCGGGACTAAAAGCAAGCTGACCACAGAGACGTGGAGAAAGCAGAGGACACAAGAGGGAAGACCCAGGCATCATTTCTGGCCCAGCCCTGGTTCTATCTCAACACAGGCTGCAGGGATGTGGTCCACAGGGGTCAGCTGCTCACTGAAGGATGGACATGTGAAGTCAACACATAATAACCCCACCGATGCAGACTTCCAAAGGCAATCATTAAAACCACGTGGCAGAATGAGAAAAATGAGTCTCTCTCCTACAGGCAACGGTGTCTTTGCTTACTATGATCCTTCACCTTCTGATGAGGAACAGAGCTGCACTCACTGTATCCTCCGAGACACGTCGGGCAGAGAGCTCTTCTGTATGGGGGTTCACCTGACTGCCCAGACCCCGCAGAGCACGTCTTGCTACCCCCCATCACCTGACCCCACACCCCACTCCTCTCCTTTCCAGCATCCTTCACAGATCCTTGCAGATTCCTGCACGTGCGAAGAATAAGGTAGGTTCTACAACAGTGCGGGGTGCTCTGAAATAAAAGAACGTGAGACACGATGACAGAAAGACCCAAGTTTGAATCCCACTTCTTGTCTCACTTGTCAGATGAGAGCGAGGCTAATTTTCTCGTCTAGGGAACAGTGGAAACCGTACACGGCCGGCCATCTCACAGGGTGACCGTGACAGAGGAGCTGAATCAGTGGAATAAGTTTATAAGCTATATATTCATCCCCAAACGCCAGCAATCTCTTGGCTCAGCCTATGGCCACAACAGGGGCTCAAGGGGAGAATCAGTGGCAGAGACTCAATGACTCTGGTAAGTTCCTGTCTTGTCATGGAAACCAAATGAGTAAGGTAACCCAAACTTCACCAAAAGTTCGGCATAAAATTTAAAAATAAATATTTAAGACATGTTGTTGTGGAAATAAGACTGTCTCCAACTTACTCCATTTCTACGTGGTAAAGACTTGTAGCAGCCCCCCGTTTGCAGAATTGTAAGGACCGGCGGGAGGTACAGCAGAGGATCGTTTCCGCGGTGAGAGATGACCACCACGTCACAGCCCCGGGCTATGGGAGGCCAAGCGTGGGATTCCGCGAGCCTAGGTCCTGGGAACTTGTTTCTTCGAAGAGCCTACAAAACATCAGCCACCAAAAAAACCACAAATGAAGCATAGAAAACTAACAAAAACTCCATCTCTTTGCTCATTTCCCCCCCAAAACAGCCACTACACATTGCTCACTCCGGTATTTTCTAAGACCTAACCTGACGAGTCCCCGAGTCTTTTCTCAGCACCAAACCAAACTCCTGCCCTAAGACGCTTGCTTTTCTAGGCTCCAAATTGAAACCAAGTGCACAGAGCTCACCAGAGCAAGGGTGTGGCTTCTCCTAATCATCTGTGAATACATCAGCTTTACTTACAAACTTTTTTTTTTAAACATGCCTTTATTGGGGTGCTTGGCTGGCTCAGAGAAGCGTTCAACTCTTCATCTCCGGGTCATGAGTTCAAGCCCCACACTGGGTGCAGAGATAAATTAAAAAAAAAAAACAAAAAAACCCACATGCCTTTATTCGCTTATTTTTCTATGTAACGGTCACTAAAACCTCCCAAGGGTGGCAACAGAAAGAGTCCTCTAGCCACAATGACCCTACGTTCCAAGAGACTGAATTCATGAGCACAATTAGTTGGTGTCGTTCCCATCCCCGAGCCCCAAGGGCAGCGCAGACCAGCAACTGGGCGTCCCACGAGCAGCCATCACCCTGCAGCCTCCCGGCGCTGTCCCTGCTGTCTGCAAGGCCGGTCATCCTTCCTGGCTGACTTTCTGGCTTTTGGTGGAGAACATACCTCAGGGGTGTCTCTCTTGAGGAAGTCAATTCTTGTGAGACTCTTGCATGTCTTGAAAATGTCTTCATTGCTAGTTTCGGATGGACCTCAAGGTTGGAAAGAACTTTTCACCCAAATCTCGGAATCAGTGCCCCTCGGATGTTACCGACGGCAAGTCTGAAGGCATTTGTGCCCTCGGAAGCCCCCCGATTGGACACTTCACAGCCGAGAGCCCACGATCCTGACCCCCTCACTATGCTGGGCTCGTGGGAGGACTCTCCTAATTTGGACAGTCCCTTCCATGAGCTCTGGAAGTCACTCGTGTGTTGCTCTTCTCAGAATTTTCTGCCCACTTCCTTTGCTTTCTAAAAAAATCCCACTGCAGAGACTGGACCTCGAAATGACCCTCAAATTGTTTCCCTCCTATTTCCATCTCCTTGTCTTTTTGCTCTACTTTCTAAGAGTTAGCTTCCATTTTCTCTCTCCAATCTGCTGCTTGGTTTCTATCTCTATAGCATTCTGAATTTCCAAGAACCATTTTTATCTTCTGGGCCTTTTTTATAGCACCCTATTATTTAATAAATACTGTTAATACTTATCTCTGAGGGTATTTATTTTGTAGCATTACCTTCTATTGCCTACACTGTTTCCTTCAGAGTTTTATTTTGGTCTTTTTTTAAAAAAATGCTTTTATTTTCTTTTTAGGTGGGAGGTTTCATCAAATGTCTAAGGATCCCTGATGTGTGTTCACCAGGAGGAGGCCCACTAAAAGCAGGCTGGAAGACGTGTGGCCAGCACAGAGCTCAGCTCTGTGAGCACCACACCCCTGCAGGAAGCCAGGGCAGCGAGCAGGTGTCTTCACTGGGAGAATTCATCTGAAGGGCATTTCTAGGGCCATTCAGTTCCTTCAAAAAGATCGTCCTTCCCGAGAGGCTGACTGCAGACGCTCAGGAACGGGCAGAGGGAAGTTCAGAACCTCCTACTTCTCTCCTTCCTCTACTAGTCAGCCACACTCTGCTGCCTGTTTTCCATCTTCTGAAAGCCTGTGGAAATTTCTAGGCCACTAAAGACTTTGTTCTCATTCACTTCATCCTCGTGGATTTAGCCTCTTTCTTCCTGTCTTTTTTTTTTTTTTTTAATCAAGAAGGAAATAGAAAAGCATGCGTGGTCAATTTACTAACTGAAATGGCAGGTCTCTAAAGCAGTTTTGAGAACACTCGGAAATATAGCATAACGGCCCTGGCAACTTGTTGCTCCTTCTAATAAGCCCCTTTCCCTAAACACATTTGAAAACTTATTTCAGAAAAGCATTAAGAATTATACAGTGGTGGGCGCCTAGGTGGCTCAGTCGTTAAGCATCTGCCTTCGGCTCAGGTCATGATCCCAGGATCCTGGGATCGAGTCCCACATCGGGCTCCCTGGTCAACGGGAAGCCTGCTTCTCCCTCTCCCACTCCCCCTGCTTGTGTTCCCTCTCTCGCTGTCTCTCTCTCTGTTAAAAAATAAATAAAAAATCTTAAAAAAAAAAAAAAGAATTATACAGTGGTTTTGCCACAAAAGGATTATTCACTTATAGGAAGTAAACCCAAAGAATACATGAGAACTTAATAACAAAAGCTTAAAAGAGGATTTCCAAAGCGAAGAAACGACACAAGTACAGCCTTGGAAGGGTTTCCTAAAAATCCTATGTTAGAACAGGTCAGCATTCCTTCATGAGCCCGCCTTCAGGAGCACTTTTACCTTTCTCAGGTCTGCCGAAAGCGGCGACGTGTCAATGGACAAGCAAGGCTCGATCTTGTGCCTGAGCACGGCCAAGGGCTGCTGGGAGCCGGTCCGCAGCCTCTGCAACTGAGACAGCATGCCCCACGGTTAGTTAGATGCCCCCGCCCCGCCCGCCAGTGCAGGAAGTCAACCACTTTATGCAAAGGAAGGACAGCCTAGGTATATATGCTCATCAAAACCCACCCAAAACTACCAAAATGAAAGGAAGAGCATCTACTATCCCCCACCAAATAATAATTTCTCTAAAGCAGTAATTCACTGGAGAATCTCTAAAAGGGTGTCTTCGGGGAAAGTCCCCACCTAAGGGGGTTTTCTCTTCTAATCAAATCCAGACGAGGAAGGAGATGGACTTAAAGAGTAAAGAGCTGTCGTGGATTTTTAATTTTTGTGTAGGGTTGTCATACCTGCTGTAGATCAGAGATCCCATCAGTTCTCAAAGGATCAGGATTTAAAAACTGCAACAATCTATAAAATAGTGAAAAGGACAATTTGAAGGAAAAAGGAGTGTTAATATTTCCTCAACTGAGTTATAATTTTAATTCTTCCTTGACAGAGATAAAATAAAATACACAGTTGGCCCTTGAGCCACACGGGTTTGAACCATGCACACCCACTTACATGCGGATTGTTTATGGTACAGTACTAAAAATGTACTTTCTCTTCCTAATGGTTTTCTTAGTAATATTTTCTCTTCTCCAGCTTACTTTATTATAAGAATACAGTACATAATACATAAGACATACAAATACATGTTAATCAACTACATTACTGGTAAGGCTTCTGGTGAACAGTAGGCTATGAATAGTTAAGTTCGGGGGGAGTCACAAGTTACATGCAGACTTTTAACTGTGTGGGAGGTCAGCACTCCCAACAACGTCCATGTTGTTCATGGGTCAACTGTATATCCCAAGGCATAGCTGTGAAATAACTGCTCGCCCCGTTTTGTCCTGTTTATTGTGATAAAAGGCCACAGAGGTCAGGTCAGTACGGTACTGGCCCCCAGGCTGTGGACACAGCGCCACCAATCCCAGGAACACCTGTTTTGACATGAAGAAAGACTGCATGACCACCAGGTCATGTCACGTTGCTGAGAAACCCACAGCCTTCTCGCTTCTGTGCCATAATCTTGAACCACTGGCAGAGTCACTGCCATTGTTGAATCAATGGATTCTAAGTAAAGGGCATTTAGCCCATGAAGAGAGAAGATAGCACCTTTTAATACAAAAATGAAAGGCAATAGAGTACCTCGGGGTTGCTTATCAAGTTATAATTTAATGTAATGAAAGTAAGAAATGAGATGCACGGGTAATGCAAGGTCTCTCATTCCAGGGAAAACCACCAGGTGCAGCCCCATGGCTTTCAGGGAGTAGGGTGGAGGGTTGCCCTGGGAGGAGGGGTCAACACAGCTGCGCTGACAGCCACCCCCAGATCTGTGGGCTGCAGGGGGTGGCCAGGGAGCCCTGTGAGGAGCTCCTGGGGGTGCAAGGGTGTTGCGGGGCCAGAGGGTGGGCTCTGGGAGGCAGGCAACCCAACGGTGTTGCAGTCAACACCCTCCCCCCAGTCATCCCCGGCCAATCAGTGGACACAGTATGACCCACCCAGTTCTGAACTGTCGTAAATCCCTTGTCACTCTGGTGACTGACTTCAGAGCAGCTACAGTTACTGGGACTATAAGGGTGTTTTTAGGCTGGTATGGTAAGAAATCATAAAAACGAGTATGAGAATGTTTCATGGATTAAATAAGTAGGAAATAAAGTTACTACTCTGTTGTTAACTCGTCAGTGAATACCTTGTGAATCTGACAAGACAGAAACAAAACAAAACAAAAAACAAAACAAAACCCAGTTCCACACTACAAGTAATGAAAAAGTTTCTCCAGCAGGTGGAAGACCCCTTTGGCCATCAGAAAGCCGGGAGAGCAGCAGATGTAAACCCATAGAAGACCAGCAGCCCCAAAGACCAACCGTATCTAATTTGTTTCATAAAACTTCACCAAAAGAATCAGGAAGGGGAGGCAGAATATGATTATTTACAGTGGAACAAATGTTTTAAAAGAAAAATCTACCCTAGCGAACAGGAAAAACAATTAACTTCAAAGCCTACAGCGGACACTGTAGGTGTATTTTCCACAAGGGAATGCGGGTTTGAAATAAATAATAAAATCATATGTAAATCCTTCCTGCTTATAATTTTATTACAATTATTAAAAAAAAAATGTAGACCAGGCACCTGGGTGGCTCAGTTGGTTAAGTGACTGCCTTCGGCTCAGGTCATGATCCTAGAGTCCCTGGATCGAGTCCCGCATCAGGCTCCCTGCTCGGCGGGGAGTCTGCTTCTCCCTCTGACCCTCCCCCATCTCATGTGCTCTCTCATTCTCTAACTAAAATCTTTGAAAAAATAAAAAAAATAAAAAAAATGTAGACCAAAGAAATAATTCATACTTCACACAGCCATTCTTCTCATTGTGTTCTTTCTTCTCAGCCAACCTAAGTGGTTTCTCAGTTGGCTTCTGACATAAAGCACTAGAAACCAAAAAACATTGATTAGAATTTCCGAGCCCATTTGCCCCAATCCTGAAAATGCCTATATTTTCTGGGAGAAAACTCAGTTAGGTAGCACCAAGGAGTGTGTCGCTCTACATATGCAAATTTATTTCGGTGAGAATGGACACTCTGCCCTCTAAGGATGAAAACCACATTGAGGGTGCTGGTGCTCAACAAGAGGGCCTAAGCCCTCCACAGTCGGTCTCTCCTCTGACCTCAGCTGGAAACCCCGTGTAAAGCACAGAACTGAAGGGGAGAGAAGTCAAACCTTGCAAACCACCAGAATCGTGGAGAATTCCCAGGGATTTTACACTCCCCCGTCTCTTGGTGTTGGCCTGAGGCTGGCCCCAGACACAGAACTGCACCACGGATGTGGACACCAAGCACTGAGAGAAACCCTCTATTTCAAGCCAGAGAAGCAGGAAGGGGAGATAAGACAGCTACACTGACTGATTTCCTCTTTTCCCTTTTTCTCTTTGGCCCTGCGCCATGGGCAGCTCCAGTCATGTAGCTGCAGTTGGTGACAGGGGGCTGTCACCCGAAACTCCCTCTCTATAGAGGATCTAGGAAATGGACCCCGGGGTCCAAAGATGCGGAGGAAACCTCCATCTTTTTCCCCTCTTGTTTCCACTGCTATTTTGTTCCACAAGTGGCCCCAATCACACAGACCTGGCATGGCCGTTTCTCCATGAAAAGCCATCTACCTGGACAGGGGCTCAAGGAGAGGGAACATCTACAAAATGGTCAATGTGAGGAAAATCCTGGAGAAAAGAGTGTGTGCCAGAGAATGACCCAATACAAGTCCCAGGCTCGCCCCAAGCTGAGCATATTCAGAACAGACCCAAAGCAGAGCTGCAGTCACCACCCAAACGAGACGGAGTCTGACACCAGAATGGAGTCACTGACTTCCTATTAAATAAACAACAAAAACACCAAGGCCAACATTGTCCAGAGGATTTGAACAGAAACCAGAGTCTCACACCATAATATTCAAAATATCCAGAATACAACACACAAAGAACCAGGAAAACCAGATCGACTGTCAAGGGAAAAGATGATCAACAGGTGCGAACCCCAGGATGGCAGACAAGTGGGAATCATCACGTACTTTAAAGCAGCTATTATACCATGATCCCTAAGGGAGGAAGGGGTGAGCACTCCTGAGTGGAACAATTAAAGTTCCCAGCAAAGAAATACAAACTATAAAAAATACCAAATGAAAATTTTAAAATGGAAAAATACAACAAAAAAATTTCAGCAGGATGGAGATGACAGAAGGCTCAGTTAAGTTAAAGATACATCAGCAGAATTACTAACCTGAAGAATAGCAAGGAAAAAAGGTAAAAAAAAAAAAAAAAAGAGCCAAGTCTCAGGGACCTTTCGGACAGTATCAAAAGGTATGATACTTGTCTCATCAGAGTCTCAAGAGGACGGGAGAAAGAGATGCGTGCAGACAAACATCTGTACAATAGCAGCTGAATACTCTCCAAATCTGATGCAAGACAAAAATCTACACATGAAGAACCTTAATGAGCACCAAGCATAAGAAACAGGAGAGAAACTACACCAAGGCATATGTAATTAAATTGCTCAAACCAGAAACAAAGAAAAAGAATCTCAAAGCAGTCAGAGGAGAAAGACATGTTGCAAACAAAGGAACAAAGAAAAAGATGACAGTAGCTTTTGCGTTAGGAATGATGCAGCAAGCAGACAGGACACCAGTATCTTTAAAATACAGAGAAAAAAGAACTATCAACCTAGAATTCTATACCTAGCAAAAATATCCTTTTTCAAAAATGAAGCTGAAATAATTTTTCCAGACATACAGACACTGAAAGAATCCATCACCAGCAGACCCACAATACAATCAACAGTAAAGGCAGTCCTTCAGGGACAAGCATAATGATACCAGATGGAGATCTGAATCTACACCAACAGTGAAAAGCACTGACGGTAACTACGCAGGTAAACACAGAAGGTATTCTTCTTTCTGTTTATTTAAATCTCTCGAAAAGACCACTGACCTAAGTTTAGATACAAATGATACTAGAGCCTAGGATGTATAAAGAATGTATAAACGAAATGTAGGACAACACTAGCACGAAGCCCAGGAGGGGAGGAACAGAGCACAGGACTAAGATCTTACACTATTTGCAACACGGTGTAATAACAGTACAACTGTTCTGTGATTTCACAAACATCATGAACCCGCCTCTTGATGTGGACAGGGTTACGGTCAAAGCCTCAGATACTCCTCCTCAACAGCCAGTCTTTGCCCCCCACCACCTTGTACTGCCTTCTGGCCCACACGTACCAGCCTCTACATCAGGACAATTCCACTGGACCTACCTCACAGAAACAACTTTGTCCAACAAGGTAACACGGAGACTCTAGAGCCACTACCAATTTCCGGTCAGTTGTGCTACTAACCCGTTGTTATGTTTTTCTTTAAAATTAATATAGGTTTAATCAAAATTTCTGGACCACTCTTTATTGAAATTGAATCCTTTCCTAGCATCGATCATAGAAAACACTATGTAAGACAGCATTACATTCATGTATCTATTCGATTACACTAAATTTTCAAATCATACCTTGCTGCTGGTGTATCTGGCTCAGCATATATGGTTATCCCCCTCTTTGTTGGCCAGTACATGGAGGATTCAACACACTGTAAAAAAAATTTTTTAGAAAGAATGTGTATGCTGGCAAGATACGTATCCTTATGGAGCTAAAATTCCATGGGAGTCATTCTCATAAACAACCATCCCAGATCATTTTCAGGCAACACAGACATGGAGAGACAAAGAACTGGATAATGTGGTTATGCCATGGCTATAACCACTAGATTAAAGTGTCCAAGTAGCAAGCAGGTGGCACTTCAGATAATCAGTATTTCAAATGTCCTGTAATTATTTCACTTGTCTTGTCGAAGGACTAGAAAGACAGGTTGGACAGGTTGGACTGGAACTGTTAGAGTGTCCCATAATCTCAGGTTTTCACACCCTTGTTAAATGAGCATAAATACCCAATCCTGCAGAGAAGCCCCTAGGCCAGCAACAAGAGGGAGGCTAGAGTTCTCTTGTTCTTTTGAATTAGAGCCAACACACAAACTATATTTCTTCCTGAAAGACACGACCACAGCCAAGGATTTCTTAACAGAAAACACACTTTAGTTCCTAGATTTCAAATGAGAATATTCTAAAATTAACCTTGTATGAACTTTATACCTAATGAACATTTTAAAATACAACCTTATTTACATCTTTCAAAGAGATGCACTGTTGTTTCTTTTCAGACTTTTTTTTAGGTGAACCTCTCAATGAATCCAGATTACATTTTATAGTTTTATCTGCAAAATAAAAAGTAAAAAAGACCTTTCTTAGAAAATGCTATTAATAGGAAACAGAAAAAGGATTATAAACTTAAAAGTACAATCATAAAAATCTTAATACATGAAATTATTAAATAGGGTTTTGAATTAAACTTTACTTGAGGAGATTAAATTTAAAAATCTTGTTTCAAACCTTGTCACACTAAAAGATGTTTAAGTAATTCCTTTACCGGCTTACTAGCAATTAAACACAATTTATTTTCCCAAGTTGGCAGACTATATTTTTCAAAGAGGGCCACACCATGTCTCCCAACATACTCGCTCTTCTTACAATTTGTCATTGACATGTGTCCCACCAAGACACGGGCTCTGTATTCCCTTCCCGGGAGCCGGGGGTCGGGGGGGGCTTGTAAGCAACATGGAAGTGGGGTTATGTGACTTCAAAGCTAGATGGCCAAAATGCCATGTACTTATGACCTGTCCTCTTGAATGCTGTCTTTTGACAACCAGCATTCTTCCCAGCCAGCATGCTGGGAAGAAGCTCAAGCAACCCCATGGAAAGGTCACTATAGGAATTTCAGATTAGCGCCCCCATCATGGTCCCAGCCAAAGCCACAAATCAGCTGCCAGAGATGTCACCACCTAAGTTTCAAATGAATCCATCTGTTTCCTCACCACCAGCCCTCAGGTCTTCCCAGCTGAGGCCCCAGACACTGTGGAACCGCGACAAATCTTTTGTGTTATGCCCATTCCAAAGTCCCGACCACAGAATCCATACACATTATAAAATGCTTTACACCACTAACCATTATCAAATGTTTGTTACAAAGCGATCAGAACCAGAATATCAACTGTAACTCAGTTTCAGCAATGATTCAGGATCACACCTGTGCATCTCACTTCTTAATAGCACAGTAGGTAGAGAAGGCATTAGGAAACAGGCTGGATTTGAATAGCCAGCAGGCAGCAAAATTCTAAAGCAGACTCTTTCAAATATCTTTATTCCTTAGGCCTAGATCTGATTTGGAAAAGTGACAAACACTCATCAGTGAATATGAATAATCAAGCGAGGTAATTACGCTTGGGTAAAAACTGAGGTGTGATGGAAAGAAAAAGAAAAGGAAATCAACCCAGCAATCATTTTTTAGGGTATGACACAAGCAATCCTGGAAAAGTGTTCACACTAAGCATCAATAAGAGAAACACAACTGAAATGACAAGGTACATTTTTTACCTATTAAATAATGTAAATCACTAAAATAAATAGTAAATGCTGGAAATGTGAAATGATGTTGCAAACTGGTCTAATCTTTCGTTAAAATACTTTGGTGCCCAAGCCTGCTTGTCATGGGATCTCTGGGTCTGAAAATACATTCTCCCTTCAGGGTGTGATGTTACAGCCAAAAATAAAAACTCTGATCTGGATCCAGAAGTGAAGGTGATGGACGAAATTTGTTGAGAGAAAATAAATGTCCATGCAACACAAGCTTTCAAACAAAACCACAAAGTCCACAAATCAATGCCATCATAAATGTTAAAAAAAAAAAAAAACCCACAAAGGTTTTGTCAGGGAGCAGAGATTCACACCTGAGGAAATTTATAAAAGAGCATCAGAAAAGGACTCTAAAATAAATACACTTAAGATATCCAAGAGATAAAAGGGATTCATAGTCATGAAACAAAGCAGGTGGATATAAAAAGATAGGCAGACATAAAAAAGAACTTATCAGAACTCTAAGCAGCAAGAAATAGTCATCAAATTGAAAACTCAATAGAGGAAGTTAATACTAAGTTGGAAGCTAAGAGAGAAATGGTAATATAAAGAACTAAGAAAACGTTTCAAAGCTAAGTTCAGAGAAATAAAAAGAAAATGCAAAAGAAAGCTATGAAAAACAGATCATAAATGGAGAAACACTAATCTACATCTAAGACGAAGGAGGATAAAATTTTTAAAAACATTAACATCTAATACTTTTCAGAAATTCAGGTTAGACATGAATTCTATAATTGAAAAATTCCAAGTGTTAACAGAATAAATTTGAACCATCCACTCTTAGACACATTGTAAAGAAACAGCAGAATATCAAGGATAAAGAGAAAAAACTAAAAAAATCAATAGAACATACTAATCACTTACAAAAGAATAACCAACAGATTGACAAATTAGGAGAAAATGTACTATCTCCACTGTTGAAGGAAAATAACTAAGAACCTGGCATACCACATCTGGTTTAACTATTACCAGATATTAACATCTATTACCCACAATCCCCTTCTGAAAGTACTAAAATATGTACCTGAGAAAGAAAAAAATAAACCAGCTGGGCAATAATAATCCTAATAACATTAATAACCTAATTTAAGATGGAGTTGGGAAGCCAGAAGGGGGAGCTCTCAGGCTGTACCATTCCTCACAGCCCCCTGTTGACCTAATAGGAAGAGATGTACCTTGCATTTTCCAACAGGAAGAAGCCTACTTTACTTACCCTGGGAGGGGGAAGAAGATTTTCTCCTTGCCGAGCAACAGCCCAGCCAATGAGAGACTGTTACAACTCAGCCAATGAAGAGCCACTACATTTTGGACTCCCAGTTTACTTCAGTGGACTTTTTGTTGATAACGGCCCCTCCCAATTTCCCCCTTTTCTCTATAAAAGAGCGTTCCTCTCCTTTGTGCTCTGCATTCCCACGTAGTTTTGCTGTAGCTTGCCTGTCGTGAACTGTAATTCTCTACTATTGCCATATAAACCCACTTGCTGGTAAAATAACTGCCTGTTTTATTTTCAAGGTCGACTATATATATACGCCCATGTGTGCGGCTGTAGAAGTCAAATGAATGACAACGATGCTAGGGACAAGAGGTAGGGATTAGGAATATTTGGTCATCATACTCGTACTACCTGTGAGGTGGAACAGTGTTACCTAAAAGTGGACTTGAATTGGTTGTAAATGCATGTTGTAAACCCTAAGGCACCCACTGAAGTAAGTGAAAAAGAAGTATAACTGATATGCTAAGAAAGGAAAGAAAACAGAATAATATAAAGTGCTTAATTACAACTGCAGATGGCAGACAAAGAGTGGAAGATAAAAATAGGAGCAAAAAACAAGGGAATGAATAGAAAACAGTAACAGATATAGTCAACATTAATCCAACTCTACCAATAGTCACTTTAAATGGCAATGGTCTAAATACACCAATCAAAGAGGTTGTCAGAGTGAACAAAAACAAGACCCAACTAGATGTTGTCTACAGGAAACCCATTTTTAAGTATAAAGACAGAAATTAAGAGAATGGAGAGAGATACACCATGCTAACACTCATCAAAGAAAGCTGAAGTAGCTATACTGATTTCAGATAAAGTGGACTTCAGAACAAGGAAAATTATGAAGGACAGAGGCATTACATAATGATAAAGGAGTCAATACTCCAAGAAGACCTAGCAGTCCTTAAGGTGGATGTGCCTAACAAGAGATCATCACACTATGGGAGGCAAAAATGGACAGAACTGCAAGGAGAAACAGATGAGTTCACAATGACAGTTGGAGACTTGAACACTCCACTATCAGAAATGAACAGAGCGAGCAGGCAGGAAATCATAAGGATATAGCTGAGTTCAACACTACCATCAATCTACTGAATGTAACTGAGATCTATAGCCTACTTCACTCAACAGCACACTACACTCTTCTCAAACTCACATGGAACATATACCTAAACAGAACACACTCTGAACCATAAAACAATATAGGCCATAAAAACACATGAAAAGTTTAAAAAGAATAGAAACTATACAATGTATACTTTCAGACCATAATGGAATTAAACTGACTCAGAAACAAAAAGATAGCTGGAAAAATCCCCAAATAGTGAGAGATTAAACAACACACTTCTAAATAACACCTGGATCAAGAAGAGATCTTGAGAAACTTAAAAATAGTTTAAACTAAATGAAAATTATGATATAGCTTATCAAAATTTGTGGGATGTAGTAAAAACAGTATTTGGAAGGCAATTTATAGCATTAAATGTATATATAAGAAAAGAAGATAAATCTCAAGCCAATAATTAGTGAGAGATATCCTCCTAGCCTGGAAACAGCTGCCTTCTCGTGTATTCCCCCATGGAGGAGAGGGAGCGCTCTCGTGTCTCTTCCTCTTCTTACAAGGGCATCAGCCCTAGAGAACTAGGGCTCCACTCTTACGACCTCATTTAACCTAATTACCTCTTAAAGACGCTATCTCTCAATACAGTCATATTGGGGGTGTTAGGGCCAGGGCACACAACTCAGTCCACGGCATGATTTTCTTTGAAAAGGATCAATAAAAACAATACGCCTCTAGCCAAGCTAACAAAGAAAAACACAGATGACACAAATTACAAGCATCAGAAATGAAAGAATAAACATCACTACAGGTCCTATGGACATGGAAAGGACAAATAAGGAATACCATGAACAACTCTACGTTCACAAATCTGGTAACCTAGATGAACCGGATCAATTCCTCGAAAGCCAGTCTGCCAAAACTCACACAACTCAGTCCTCAAACTGGTAGGTGGAGCAGAGAAGAGGGCATCTGATCTGTGCAGGCAGAGGAAGGAACCTTGGTGATGGAGAGCAGGACATGGGAGCCCAAGCAGAGTGAGGTGAGCACTAGGGGGGTGGAAGAGGGAAGAGGCCTGGAGCCAAGTAGGGTGAGGAGGGTGCCTTTGCAAGGGTGGGAATGAGGGACAACCCTACGTGGGAATGCAGAACCCAAGTGGGGGTGGACCTACGTCTAAGTGAAATGAGGAAAGTGTCCACAGGGAGGCTGTGTGTGTGGCAGGGGGACGGTATCAGCCTGAACTAGGTGAGTGATGGAGGCAGGGGAGGTTTGAGTGGTGTGCTGTCAGCGAATGGAGTGGGGAGCGCATCTGTACAGAAAGGGTAGTAATGGCCATGAAGAACTGGTTACTTACACAAGCAAAGAGTGGTTGCTCATCTAGAAGGACTGACTCCATAAGTATCTATAGTAGGAATAAAGGCAGATAGGAATCTTAGTCACAGAGGAACATGACAAATTTGGGAAGGCAGAAAACTAGGAATAATCCAGCAGCAGCAGGATCTCAATTCGAGATATTGGTGTCAACTCCTGGTTTCCAGTACCTAGATCACAACAGATATAAAATCTATACAGATGTAAGTGTATACATGAGCATGGATGCACACACACCCAGTCCCCAGCTCTGTCCACTGAAGGGCCTGGGAGCAACCACCACAACAGAAACGAACACACCCAGCTCCCAGATGTTTCAAAATGAAATTCTCCATTCAAAGGAACCAGGGGAACTTGGGGAACTGGTTGAACCACTTCAGGGTCTCAAATAGGAATCTATACTGATGTGGATTAATGAGCAAATGAAAAGGAATGATAGCAACAGCCAACAAAATATCTGCAAGGTGAAGAGTAACTTTCAGTGGAGAAGCCTGGCAGATGCTAATTAATTAAGCGATCAAAGGGACCCTCACCAGTACTGGGACACATCAAAGTTTTATGTCCGCTGGTAAGGTGGAATGAGATGAACCCAGTGTCGCTCTTGAGGGATCCCTGCCACGGGTGTGTAGGCTCAATCTTACACAATTGAGACATTCTACTAAGCAGCCAGTCTATAGTCTTTCCAAGTGTCAAGGTCATAAAAATGAAGGGAAGACTGAGGAACCATTCCAGACTGAAGGAGGCGAGGCGTGACGGCGGAACACAACAAGGGATGCTGAGCTGCACCCTCCTGCCATAAAGGAGTCACAGGGAAGAGTGACTGAACCTGAATGGCGTCTGAGGTTTAGGTGATCGCAACGTGTCAATGTCAGTTTTCTGACTTGTATGGCTGTACTGTGAATTTTTTTTTTAAAGATTTTATTTATTTATTTGACAGAGAGACACAGCCAGAGAGGGAACACAAGCAGGGGGAGAGGGAGGGGGAGAAGCAGGCCTCCTGTGGAGCAGGGAGTCCGATGTGGGGCTCGATCCCAGGACCCTGGGATCATGACCTGAGCCGAAGGCAGGCACTTAACGACTGAGCCACCCAGGCACCCTGTATTGTGAGTATTTTTGAGAATATCCTTGTTGCTGGGAAAAACACACTCAAGTATCAGGGAGAGATCCAGTCAGCAACTTATCCTCACATGCTTTAGAAAGAGTTCTCTGCAAAGTTCTCCAACTCTTCTGTAAGTCTGTGATTATCCTAAAATAAAAATCTCATTGCGAAAACAGATGTAAGCCCCGTGAAGGCAGACTTGTTTCCTTCCCTGCTGAGCCCCTAGAGCAGTCCTGATATGCACGGGCACTTCCAGAATGGCCGATGAATACATATACATGGCTCAGGGGTGTGTGAGCTAGTCTGTCAGAGAAGTCAAGACAGGGGGCGCCTGGGTGCTCAGTCGGTTGAGCTTCTGCCTTCGGCTCAGGTCATGATCCCAGGATCCTGGGATCAAGTCCCGCATGGGGCTCCCTGCTCAGTGGGGAGCCTGCTTCTCCCTCTGCCCTGCCCCATCCCCCACTCGTGCATGCTCTCTCTCTCAAATGAATAAATCTTAAAAAAAAAAAAAAAGTCAAGACAGGTCTAGAACTAAGTGATAAGCCTAGAAATGGTAAATTAATTGTAAGGGTTTCAAAATCTGGAGACAACCACCAAAGTAAAAAGGTAAGGGGAACGATAAAGGTTTATCTCTCGGGAGCAGCCTCAGCTGAGAAGAGGCTAGAAAGAGAAGATTACTTCTCATCACTTTTCACTCCTTCTGTGCTATTTGATTGTTTAACCAAGTATTAACAAAGTATGATGCTTTGATTTTAAAAATGTAAGACAATTTCAAGAAGTACCAAAAAATAATTAAAATACAGTTGAAATATCTTCTTACCATGACTACAAGGAAAAGGAAATCTTTGCTTGGGTAAGTAACACCTAATAATTTTGTTTTCCCATGACAATCAGTTACATCTCACATCGGCTTTCCTTTCTTTTACCATCAAACTTTTCCTTTTCAAAGACACACACAGTGCTGGGGCACCTGGGTGGCTCAGTTGGTTAAGCGTCTGCCTTCAGCTCAGGTCATGATCCCAGGGTCCTGGGATCGAGCCCCACGTCTGGCTCCCTGCTCAGCAGGAGGCCTGCTTCTCCCTCTCGCCCTCCCTCTGTTTGTGTCCCCTCTCTCACTGTGCCTCTATCAAATAAATAAATCTTAAAAAAAAAAAAAAAGACATACACAGTGCATCCTGACACTGACCACAGTAAGGAGAAGTGGGAAATGGTTACTGTCCAGAAACCTGGGGCTACTTAAAAAAAAAAAAAAAAGCAAAAATGATGACATATTCATGTGATGGAAAGCTGGGCACTGATTAAACACAACATAAAATGCTTGGCATTTTTCATGCTCCAGTAAAAGCGGGCCCATATTTCTATTTCCATGTGTCTTTCTGCCATCAGCAACAGGGGCATGTTTCAGCAGGAACTCTCAGCTGAGACCCCTGCAGGAGGCACATCAGAACAGAGGGTGGGGGCCGCATGTGCCATGTCAGCCACGGGCCATGTCAACTGTGTGTGTGGATGGCCTGTTTAATCAAGTCACTGCAATGGGAACGGTGCCTGCCCCCCAAGTCACACAGGAGGAAGGACACCAACATCCCATCTGTCTCATGTCAGAACTCATGTCCTTAAACTCAAGTGATCCTGGACATATTTGACCTAGAAAGAAGTTCATCCGTATGTTAACTGAAAAGCACTACATAGGGGTATGTATAGAATCCAATTTCTGTGAGATAAAAATGTATACACAACCTTTAGAACTGGAAAACAAGACTCTCATATTTTAATAAGTAGCTATTAAAGATGACAGGTTTTTAAAACTTTGAGTATCTATATTCTACGATAAACAACATTATCAAAGTAAATAAAAAGAATGCTAACTGTAGGGGTGACTTCATTGGCAAAAGCTTTAACTTAGTTGAGGTTTACAACGTACGTGCATGAAATACTCGGTGTACGCGCGCGGGACGAAGAGGGGAGTGGTGCAGGAATTACCACAGAGGGTGACCAAGAATCAAAGAGGCTGGCAGGTTCCCCTCTGGTCCAACAATTCCCACTGGTTATGTTCCTTGGAGATACAGAGTTAAAGACTGGGTATTTCTACCCTCCTAAATGCCTCTTTCTTTTATGTGCTCCACTGTTTAAAATGAAAATCACTCACAAATGCATACATACACTCTGAGAACAAATAATAATCACCAGGGTATGGCTGGGCTGAAATAAATCAGCTCTACACGTAAACAAGTGCCTGCTACAGTAAAACCTCTAAGTAAGGGGGCGCCCGGGGGGGCGGGGCTCAGTCGGTTAAGCATCCAACTCATGATTTCAGCTCAGGTCATGATCTCAGGCTGGTGCACAGCACTCTGTGCTCAGCAGGGAGTCTGCCTGGGATTCTCTCTGTCTGTCCCCTGCCCTGGCCGGCTCATGCTCGCTAATACATACATTAATCTTTTTTAAAAAAGTCCTCTAAGTTAAGAACTGCAAGGCCAAATTATCTCTGTCAGCATCTGCATCGTAAACTGGCTCCATGAGATTGAGAGAATTACCACAGCCCTTCTAAACAATCCTTACAATCTTTAGACCGTTGAGAGCGTTCTTTTAAGCTGCCTATGAAATAAGGCAAGTGAACTTACCCAGATATATAGCAGTTGGCCCAAGGTCACCAACAACACCCTTGGGCCCCGGATGCTGGAGGGACTGAGCCAGAAAAGTTAAACCATGTGAATCTGACAGAAAGAACACAATTCAGGATTACAGCATGAAATAAAACCCAAATGACAAATGCAAAACTCAGGGGCATACTACTTTTTTGCTGGGAGGTCACAGGAGCCCTAACTCGGGGCAGGAAAGGAGTGTGAACGATTAAGGAAAACTGAATTGAGAGAGAAACACTTAAAAAATTGTTTCCATTGTCCACGACGGTCTCCTCTCGTATTTCCCTACTAATAAACAGCTCTTCTTAAATGGGTCTAAAGTGGTAAACATTTGGCCTTGTTTTGGTAACAGCTTTAAATTATAAACTTACGGACTTCTGAAAATGTAACTCCATGTTAGTAAGAAATTGAGAACCGTTTTTTTTTTCTGGTCTCATAAAAACAAACTACAATAACTCAGGACTTCAAAACCTGTCACAAACTCACCAGGATTAAAATTAAAATATTAGATTTTAATATTTTAATAGCCCAAGTCTCTGCCTCCATATGGGGAAAAGTTTGTACAACTTACATCAGTACAATATGATTCATATAAATAGGACAGTTTAAAAGAAATATGTATTGGTGAGAATCACTCACTTTCCATTCCTTGTGGGTCTTTTCCTTGCAAAAACATTGGCCAAAGAGTAAGCGCTGGATTGAGTTTACTGGAAAAGGATGCTGACTTTATACTCAATCTTGATTTCTCTACAGAACCAATGTTTTTATTCTTCTTGGGTGATATGTAACAAGCGAAGTTCTTCGCAACCAGATCATCATTAACACAGACCTGTACAATTTTCAACATTCCAGGAATAAGACAAATAGAGTCAAGTGACTGTTCAGAAAATATCCCAAACTTAACCCCAAATTTCAATCTTCAGAAAAAATTTTATAGAACATAATTTGATAGAAACCGATCTCTTAACTTCTGCTCTGGTAACAGAGGACTAGATACTTCTGACCAACCCTCCTGGTAAGAAAAACATTAAGAATCTGTACAAAATATAAGAAATATCTTCTTGAGCAAAAGCATTGGGGAGCTAACATGACTTTGCTGGGCAAAGACCTGGGGGGATGACAAAGACAAAGCTCAAATCATAAAAAGAAAAACTGATAAAAATTTAAAAATTTAAATTTTAGGCTGTATCAAAATTTAAAAATTTCCACTCTTCAAAAGGCATTGTTAAGAGACGAAGGGCGGGGTGCCTGGGAGGCTCAGTCATTAAGCGTCTGCCTTCAGCTCAGGTCATGATTCCAGCGTTCTGGGATCGAGCCCCACATCAGGCTCCCTGCTCAGCAGGAGCCTGCTTCTCCATCTCCTATTCGCCCTGTTTGTGTTCCCTCTCTTGCTGTGTCTCTTCAAATAAATAAAATCTTTAAAAAAAAGAGAGAGAGATGAAGGGCAATCCACAGAGAGAAAATTTTTAAATCTGGTATCCGGATGGACATGTACCCAGAATATATAAAGAACTCTCAAAATGCAATAAAAAGATGATAAACAAACCAATTAAAAAATGGGCAAAATACAATGGAATATTACTCAGCCATAAAAAGATGAGATTCTTCCATTTGCAACATGAATGGACCTAGAGGGTATCATATTAAGTGAAATAAGACAGAAGGACAAACACCATATGATTTTACTTACAGGTGGAATATAAAAAACAAATGAATAAACAAATAGCACAAACAGACCCATAAATACTAAGAACTGATGGAGGCCAGAGGGGCGAGGGGAGCGGGTGCACAAAAAGGGTGAAGGGGAGAGGGAGATACAGGCCTTCAGTATGGAATGAGTAAGTCTTGGGAATAAAAGGTTCATCAGGAATAGAGTCAATGGTATTGTAATGGTGTTGTGTGGTGAGCACAGCATAAGGTACAGACTCGTCAAATCACTGTACTGTACACCTGAAACATCGTGTATCAACTATACTTCAATTTAAAAAATTATCCAGGGGTGCCTGGCTGGCTCAGTCGTTAAGTATTTGCCTTCAGCTCAGGTCATGATCCCAGGGTCCTGGGATCGAGCCGCGCCCCACATGGGGCTCCCTGCTCAGCAGGAAGCCTGCTTCTCCCTCTCCCACTCCCCCTGCTTGTGTTCCCTCTCTCACTGTGTCTGTCAAATAAATAAATAAAATCTTTAAAAAATAAAATAAAAAATAAAAAGGCATCCAAAAAATGGGCAAAAGATCTGAATGCACACTTCATCAAAGAAGATATACAGATTGCAAATAGCGTATGAAGAGACACTCATCGTCATAAGTCATTAGGGAAATGCAAAGTTAAGCCACGATGAGATACTTCTATGCATCCATCAAAGTAGCCATCCAAGCACTGAAGAGGACATGAAGGAACTGAGGCTCTCATCCATTGCTGATGGGAGTGTACAATAGTTAACCGCTTTGGAAAACCATTTGGCAGTCTCTTACTACCTACAATCCCATCCAGATATTTGACTCCTAGGTCCTCACCCAAGAGAAATGAATGTATAGGTTCACAGGAAGAAATGCACATGAATTTTCATAGCAGCTTTATCTGTAACAGCGCCAAACTGGCCACAACTCAAATGTCCAAAAGACATGAACAGGTAAATCCACTGTATAATATCTGGACAACAGAAGAGTATTTGACAATAAAAGGGACAATGTGGATATATGCTAAAGTAATTTTGTTGCATGAAAGAAGCCAGGCCAAAAAGAGAAAACCCTGGCATATCCTTGTGCTTCCTCAGGGAGCTGGAAAAGGATGCCAGGCTCTGTTTTTCTTTTTCTGGCAATGATGACCTCACGCATCTGCTCTAAGTTCTCTCTGCTAAGAAGCTTACCCTCTGCACTCCCCCACCGTGAAGTAGGGCCACAGAGGGAAAGAGACCTACTTGAAAAGCAAGAAGAAGCAGGTCAGTAGAAAAGTTTAAAGATGTTTCACCATACCAGTCCAACAGCAGCATTTTGTTATTTTTACCAAACTAAAATAAGCAATGAAAAGCTACCGGTGAAACTTACAAAGACGAGGAGGAATCCAAAATGCACCACAAAGACTAACAAATGAACCTTACTGTAAATGAATAACATCAACCCAATGAAGACGGAGGGGAAGAAAAGAACTAACCTAAGTAACTTCAGGATATAGTGTTTTGGTTGCATGCTATTTGCCTTTAGACAAACTTCTTTTTCACAGGAATGTGGGTTAGCAATTCTGGAATTACTTTATGTAAATATTAAGATTAATTGAATTAATTATAATGTAGCTAACAAGAGCAGGTTTCTCACTGTTGGAAACGTGTCACGGAACGGGGAGGGCCACAGAGAATCCTGTGAAGCTGGACTGGAATGAGAGGTACCAGAGCTCTTTTTTTGAGGGGGGGGGGATGAGTGTGCACATATGTGAGCAGGGGAGGGGCAGAGAGAGGGAGAGAGAGAATCTTAGGCAGGCTACACGCCCAGCACACAGCCCGATGTGGGGCTCCATCTCACGGCCCTGAGCCACCAGGCGCCCCGTCCAGACAGACAGATCCAGGCATCAATCCGTGTGTGTGTGTGTGTAGTGCATATACACATACTTCCTAACTGTCTGCGGAGAGGGCCTACGAGCAGCGACACCCCAGCAGCAGGGAGCACATCTCGTGCCCCAGTCTTGCTATCTGAATACGAATACCACTCTTCTTTGAGAAGTGGTTGATTCTAGGGCTGGGCTGGAGAATGACAAAATTAACCTAGAGCATCTCCTGGTACCAAAAATAGAAAGTTTCCGGCCATGAGGGGGCACACTGAAAGGACACGTAAGCCACTTTGAAGAAGCTGCTAATGGCCAAATCTGGGACAAATTGAAGAAAATAACGACAGTAATGCATTCTATCCCCTAGAGTAAAACAAACAGCCAAGAATCAGCACTAAGATAAATTACTGTACCAATTGATAAATGGGGGAGAAGGGCCAGTTCTCCTTTATAGAATTCCACTTAAAAATGCAGAAGGCCTGGGGCGCCTGGGTGGCACAGTCCATTAAGCGTCCGACTCTTGGTTTCACGTCATGATCTCAGAGTCTTGAGACGGAGCCCCGTGTTGGGCTCTGCACTCAGCACAGAGCCTGCTTGAGATTTTCTCCCTCAGCCCTCCCCAGCCCTCTTTCCAAAAAAAACCAAAAGACAAAACAAAAAATTTCCATGCTGTGTGAATGACATTCTTTTCCTTGATGTTTACTCTGTTTTGTTCAAATAAAAAAAATAAGAATGAAACATTTTTAAAACACAATTCTTTCACTCACTTTTTCATTTCTTATAGTTGCATAAAGGTAGACCTCAAAAGTATCTTCTTCCACGGCACACAACTTGGCTTCCACCTGGGTGGTTGCTAAATAACATAGAGGAAAAAAAATAAGTCAGCTGACATTGAAACAATTACATTTCACCTAGTAATCCATACTAAGCATCACCCAGAGTCACCATACCAAACCGCGTCCTCCTGGTGGGGGCGGGGGGGGGCAAGTGGAGGCCAAGGCTCTCCTGGCCTGGGGTCAGGCGCATACCCTCCCCATCCCCACCCACAGCCGCTGCTCCTGCCCCCTGCGAACGCCTCCTCCAGCGGACCTGGCCCTCTTCCTTCCAGCGACTCCCAAATCCCCTTCCCACTCAGTCTTTAACCTGAGTCCATCGCCCCCTGCAAACACCCCATCAGTCGGAGCTCTCAGCGGCTCAGACCCAGGCAGCCAAACAGCAGCTCCAGGCGCCGGGGCCGTCGCACAGTTTCACTTCACAGCTGTCGCGGTCATGTACAGGGGAGGAGGCCGGCTCAGAGAAAGCCGCAGGGAAGCTGCAGAGCAGGATGCAGTCCCAGGCGCTCTGCCTCCTCCACACCGCTATGTCCCGGCAGGCCCCCCTCCCACCGACATGGGCTCACAAGGGCCCAGACTCCAAAGCCAGAGGCCCTCCCAGCCTCCCAGTTCCCCCGGGGCCCAGCATGTGGCTATTCCTCCAGCCGGAGAGCGGGCCAGTGGAGGAGAGGGCCTAGCACCCCAGGCATTTCACACCCGCTTCTCAGAGCAGCCCCGGGCGGCGGGCACAGGCACTTGGCTCCTGCCGGCCAGGGGTCAGGACAGACGGCCCATGAGGCTGCACTTTACTGCCAACAATAGAAGATAAAGAGAGCACGCCGTACAGCTGCTCTGAGACGGGCTGCACATCTGAAATCGGCAATGACGACGACGACACAATGAATGTGCACGAGAAAAGTTCAACTTTCCATCACCTGTTGCTCCGTGAAGTGCGCGTACATTTATTTCTGCAGGGCAAAGCTCCCGTGCAAACGGAGGGCCCCTCACCCAAAGAGCCCCTTTCTCATTTCAACTCTAAATTACTAACGTCCACATCCACCCCCAAACTTTCAGGGGTGTAGAGTCGCTGTGACATGGGGCGGAAGGAGTCCCAAGTAACAGATGAACCCCTGTGAGGAGGGGTAAACAGCTGAAGGCGCACATCCCCAACCCCCTCGCCAAAAGAAAAAATAAACCAGCCTGGGCGTCAGTTCAAAGCAGGCTGCAGTAATGATGCACTTGCCTTACCTTTTAGGATGTTCTGGAAGTACTGAATAGCTGCACTGTCCCACTTCTTGGCAGGTCTGGAACAGTAAACAGATGCAACCTTACCAAAGAAAAATCCGAGGCTAGGGCACCAGCATCAAAGCCATACGCTGAATGTTTCTGACACTACGTGTTGGCTGTCTGATGCCTGGCCCTGCTTTGGGGGTGACAATCCCACCCGCACCCTGCAACAGGCTCCTCTCATCACTGCCACCGGCACCCAGGGCAGAGACTGAGAACAGGCCCGCCCTGGGGCTTCCTGAGCAGCCCGTGCCTGCCACCAGGGCATCGTCCGTCCCAGCACCAGCGTCCCCCGTGATCTGGGACCTATCGGTCTTCCCCGCCACAACACAAGCCCCCCGGGCAGGGATGCTGCGCACGCAGTGTTCAGCACAGGCCGGCACAGAGCGAGGGCTCCGTACGGCCTGGTGAGACCACAGGGAAAGAGAAGCTGGGCGGAGGGCCACCAGCCAGTCGCTCATGGTACCCCCCACCCTGCTGCAACTGTCCTCTGTCTCCCACGTTCTACCATCTTGCCCTTTCCTGTGCTCTGGAAAGGAGATTTTAAGAAGAGCTGTGGGCAGTGGAAGATGAAGAGAAACCAGGATTTCGAAGCAAGGAACAGAAATAACTAAGAAAGGGTAGAATACTATGTTTTATTTTTCTCTGCTGGTTTGATTTCCCAAATCAAGGATGGTTTGATGCCACTGTCATCCTCCAAGGGCTGCTTTAAGGATCAAATAAGGTAATATACATAAAGCACTTAGTCCCACGCCTAGGCAAAGGTATTATTTTATTTTACTAAAAAAGATATTTAGCACATTACTTCAAGAAAATCACAAAGGGTTCCCAAAAGGAAGTAAAAAAAACTTAAGACAGCAGTTCTAAATTCCTTGCTACACACACAAAAATTACCAAGTTTAAAAAAAATGAAATACAGATTTCTAATATGAAAATGGCCCAAGAGAAAAATCAGTCTAGGCTATTCACGGGTAAACCACTCGTTCAGTCCGTGTGTCTGTCTCTCTTTCTCGCACACACACAAATAACCACATGAAGAGACACCCAACTTTACAAGTTAGAAAAATACAAATTGAAACAAAATACCATGTTCACACAGCAAACAAGCAAAAATGAAAAAGCTTAATGATAGTTAACGTTGTGTGGAAAAGCAACACTCTGTGTGCCCCAGTGAAGCGAGTACACATCGCCAGTCCTTCTGGAGGGCCGTTCGACAAAATCTATACACACTGTAACACACATACCGAGACAGACATTCTACATGAACTGCCCACACAAAGGGACGTGTGTCTGCGCGGAGGGTGTGCCGATGACTGGGGAAGGTGGTCACACAGAGGGGGCGAGGATGAGGGGGACTCTGGGGGAGAGCTGGGTGTGGACAGACTGGCAGCAGAGTCAGCCCTGGGGGGGTGAGTGGCTGGCTGCTCTGGAAGAGGGGCAGGGAAGAGGCAGGGGTTGCTGCTGTGTGGGGGACCCACTTTCCCAGAGTCTCTAAGGCGGCCGTGGCGTGGGGGGGCCACAGGAACGAGCAGACTCAGCATCCATTACTGACGCTTCTGAGGCCGGCCACAGGACGGCGGGCTGGCCATCTCCAGGGAACGACAGGTGCTGGGGGGGCGCAGGGAGTGGGGATGGAAGGTCTCCGTAGATCCCGCGAAAGCATCCACAAGAGGGGCGCCTTCCAAGTTCAGGGAACAAAATGCACCACCACCACGACAGGCAAGTTGAGCCAGAACTGTGCTGTGCCCACAGTGTTTCTTCCCGTAACACCACAGTCCTCGGGCTGGGGGTACCAGGAGGGAGGAAGGGGAGGGCTCCCCAGGACCTCAGGTAGCCCTCGGTCCAGACAGTGGGGAGCACAGCCATACCCCTGCCACAGCAGTGCCCAGTGTGGGGACCCTGGTGAGTCCTGCACAAACACTGGCAATGTGGCCCCAGACTAGGAAAACGGGGCAAAGGCAGGGGCGGGGGTGATACGTGCATATGAGTATGCACGTCCACATCTCCACACCGTGTTTTACTTGGATTTATCCGTATTCTTACGGGAATGTGCAGCGCACAGTGGCCTGCAAACAATCTAGCTGGCTCTCAAGAGATGGACAGTCACATACAGCAAGTAGCCAGTTACATTCACCCCAGAAAAGTCCAACAGTGCAAGGTCGTACATGTACTTGCGAAGAGCTTCAGCACACTCCTGGCTTAAATCTACAAATAAGGCAGTAGGTTCTAATTTTCATGAAAGGCTCCACAAAAACGAACATCTATAAAGTACTGACTGAGGTCTGCAAGTTCAGAGCCTGAACAGGTCCCAGAGGCTGTGGGGGGGGGGGCGCGGTTTAGGGACCAGAAAAAAATGCAATGGACTTTTTTTTTTAATGCTCCATGACCCTGTATTTCATCCTTTCTCTTTACAGTTTATTACTTTTTGCAAATTAAAAGAAGTTGCAGAGTGCAGAGCTCAGCACCCCCCTCAACTGCAGCGTCTGGAAGGGGGGCTGGCCCCAGGAGCTCCGCTCAGGGCCAGGTGCAACACACACCGACTCAGATGTGTCCTGAAGAACAGAGGCCACTTAGTGCTTCTCAAGGGGAACAGACTCCACATAAACCTCCTACACTCGATTTCAGACTTTTACTCACGCTTCAGCGTCCCTCGCCAGCGGTACTTACACAATCTCAGCGCTGTCTTCACAGAAGTCAATATGTAACGTAACAGGCTTCGTGCAGTACAGCCTGAATTTTTTTGCTCGGTAGGGAAGCTGCATAAAAGTTTCTACTGCAACTCGGATGCTTCACAGTGAAACAGAAACAGTTCCGTTACAAAGAAAACTTATATACAACAGATTTCTTTAAAGTATGCCCCCAAAATTGACATACCTAAAACACACCCAAACCAATTCTTTCTGTTTCTAATACAGCCACCAGCAGCAGGGAGAGTGGGCAGACCTCTGCCCAAGTGCGGAGGAGGGAGAAGAATCTTACTCTTCTTATGTATAAAAGCATAAAATATATGAGTGCATGCATGGATATTCAGAGTATCTTTGGCATTAAAACTTCATGGTGTGGGGGCGGGGAGTATTAGAAAATTCATGTCTAACAAGGCTCCTCAGACTAAGAAACATTAGGAAATGAACAATCCTGTGAAGTCAGTTCTACTTAAGATTTTTGAATTTCTAATTTTAATACTCAACCCGAATTACGGTTTCGGTAAATGAGCAGATGTTTGTGATTTTGAGCAGATGTTTTTATAGTTAGTATTTATCAATTCTGCACAAAAAGAGGGGCTGAGATTTGATAAATCTGTTGCTCAGCACTTTTATTTCCATTCTTCAGGCCAACGAGAGACTGCCTGTGCGTACCATTCCTGGACAGGAGTTCTGGATGCCCTGTATGGGCAGCCTCACCACCTCGTCTCCACAGTTCAGAAAAAGGTGCCCCTCAAAGCCTCCCTGCACAATATTTAATCACGGGCTTCTCTTGCCCAAAACTCCAAATATTAAAAATCTTTCCAAACAATTAAACATAACATTTACTTTGATAACAATTCTGGTTATAAAGGTGCTGAATCACAGGCTAGAAAGGCATCTACTTTTCTTTTTTTTTTTTTTTGAAGATTTTATTTATTTGACAGAAAGAGACACAGCGAGAGAGGGAACACAAGCAGGGGGAGTGGGAGAGAAAGAAGCAGGCTTCCCCCCCACCAAGCAGGGAGCCCGATGCGGGGCTCGATCCCAGGACCCTGGAACCATGACCCGAGCCGAAGGCAGATGCTTAACGACTGAGCCACCCAGGCGCCCCAGGCATCTACTTTTTTTCTTAAGTATCTGCGAATTTCCAATGTCTGAGAAGACCTTCTGCCATGAAATGCTTTACTCTTATTGCAAGAATACTCTTACGGAAGAAGAGTCCTCACGTTAATTACTAAACTGATATCCTCTTACTCTGGGACAGGAAACTGAAAAACTACCACAAACACAAAGGCTGACGTGTTGCTAGTGTTTTCTAATGAGCAGTTAATGGGTGGTCCTGGAGCCAATGACGGCTGCTTCCGAACCGTCTCCCCACCTTAAGTCACTGTGGGTCCCACCCTCACTCTGCTAAGGAAAAAGACCCAGAGTACGTGAACAGGTGCTCTGCTCCCGGCTACCTGAGGCTGTCCCAGCACACACCCGTCCTGTGGGGACCAGATGACCTTCTGCTTCCAGGTAGAGTCTTTCCTGCAGCCCAGCCTCTGGAAGGACCCATCACAGGAACACGCTGAGAGTGGGAGGCCGGGTGAGCAACTGCCCCTTGGAAGGAAGGTGGAAGGAGGGCCCAGCTGCCCCGGGTCCTCACTGGGACCACCAGCCCCTACAATAACTGCGTATAGAACTGGAATCTGCAAGTCGTCCCCACGGGAAGCTAAGAACATTCTGTTCTTAGTTCTCTGTTCTAGTTCTCTGACCTCTATCCTCTCACTGTGAAAACGGACCCTCTCCTTTAAAACCGATATCTGTCTTCCTAAAGAGCACGAGGTGAAATAAATACATACGTACTTTTTAGATTTCACTGGGATGTACTTGGCAAAATCCACAAGGAAACATTCTGCCAGGTAGTGGTCTGCCGAAGACACAATGGACTTAATAACAGCCCTGCACCAGCACTTCAGTTCCTGACAATACACCACACAGACCTATAAAATAAAAACCTCGGCATTAAAACCCCCAGTCACAGGAGAGAACGAAAAGGCACCCCCAAACCATCTCAGCCCACATTCCACCTGCCGGAAGAGGAAAGGCGGGGGAGGAGGCTGAGGCTGCCCACGCTGACCCCTGCTGGGTGGTAAACTGAGCACAGGGCACCGGTCCTACTTCAGGCTTTTCTTACTCCAGTCATGCTGACTCCTTAACTAAGGACAGGCTTTTGAAAGTAAAATAAGGTAAATGCAGCCCCATCTTAAGGAAACTGCCCGGCAGGAGTGACAGCTGCCTGGCGTCCCGACAGTCCCACGGGACTGCGACCCAGACCGGCAAACCACATACCGACCACAGGCCCCGAGGGGAGAGCACCACGCCTGATGGGGAAGGGGTGAGCCGAAGGGAGACGACCACGCTCAGGAACTGAAGCTGGACGCCACGGAGCAGCCACTTGGCAAGGGATGGGCTCTTGGGAGCCTCCCATAACTCCAAAGTCAAATAACTGGAGAGAAATCTTGCCAAAGGATGGAGGGTATTTCTGTTTAACGCTGAAGTCAAAGCAACTTGTAGGAATGGTGTAAACAGGTAATCGTTCACGAGGCCACGCTGGTTTTGAACTGGTGGCTTACAGGGCTTCCACCAAGCCAACGTAGGGCAATTTAAGCACCAAGAACAATGATTACAGCTGATGGACTATATTAAAATCAGGAGTTCAATACAGTGCTTTAAAAATGAAAAGGAGGAGAGAAAAACAGCAGAGACCTCTGGACGCCTGTGTACACAGCTGGGCACGAACGCTGGTAAGGAAAGAATCAAGCAACGCGTCTACCTTTCCAGCATGAACTGCAGGATATAAGGGTAGCCTAATCATCTTAATAGAGGAAGGAAAGTTCCCTGCAGATGAATTCCAGCTCAAGAACACAGAAGGAATGTGAAAGCGACCATTCTGGAAGCTTAAACAGAAGGGCTGCTTTGGGCCGTGCTGGTCATGGGAAGGTGCCTCCCCTGCAGGAAAAGCTGACGGGCACCACCTTGAGGGAGGACTCAGGTGTCACCCTCTGAATCTGCTGGGCTTTGCCAACAGTGATATTACCTCCCAATCCAATGCAAGGTGAAGCGCACAGTCCAATCACTCTGAGGGGGTAAAAAGGTGACCTTAAATCTAATCAAAGCTTTAACTACCAGTCCACATAAAATAGAGGGGACAGAAAGTTCAGCACCACCACAAGGAGGCACTCAGGCTCTCCAAAACGTGGAATATTTTAAAGGGACAGCTGAATGGGTCTCCTGTCTTCAACAAGTCAATGGTATGGAAAAAAATAATAAATGTTATTAATGAAGGTTTTTTTTTGAAAGGGGGAAGGAAGTCAAGTTATTTCTAATGTTTCTCATAGTTTATAAACCTTTCCCAGTAGAAAAATTCAAACTCTTCTGAAAAGTGACTGACCTGCAGAGAGAATCAGACAATGGGCCCGGGAGCCAAGGTGGCAATAAAGGAAGAAGGGGCCGTGATGTGAGGCAAGGAAAATAAACAAATAGGAGTTGGCCAAAGTCACGGGCAGCAAAAGGGACGCCCCCTGCCCCCTCGGCTGAGGCCCCCACACCTGTGACAGATCTAGAATACATCTAGAATAGCCCTTGGTTCCCATCCCCAGGAGGATGGCCTGATGCCTGAGTTTGGACGACATTCCATCTGCTGCTGCCCCACATGAATCTTCTACCACCTTTGCTTTCCAAAACCAGCCCAAATCTCGTGCAGCCAAAAGAACCTAACACAAAGCAATTATGTGCAATTAAAATATTCTAAAAGCTTTTATTGCCAAAATGCGTACATTTTAAGTAGTATTTCAAGACACAGTGCTTAGAGCACACTTAGATACATACCTGCCCTTCTTCCAACATTAACGGTTTTATTTCTATATCTTGACGCATGCTATTATAGAAGTCATTCATGGCACTATTTAGTTTTTGGTAATCAACTTCATGATCTAAAAACGGACTACATCCTTTTATAATAACCCAGAAGCATCCTGGATCTTCAATCTGTAAAAATTTTTTAAAAACAAAACAATGCATGGTTTAAAAAGCAGAATCATAAAATAATAAACCTTAGAGGCATGATACCTGTTACTAATTTAAGTGATCTAACAAATTCTAGAGGAGTACCTGTCTTAAAAAAAAATCAGACCAAAGGTAAAAGATAAAAGTCTGTCAATGTAGATCAAATCATCACACTTTACACCTTAAACTTATACGATGTTAGATACCAATTATATCTCAATTAAGCTGGATAAAAGATAAAAGATGCAAAGATAGGGTGCCTGGGTGGCTCAGTCGTTAAGCGGCTGCCTTCGGCTCAGGTCATGATCCCGGGGTCCTGGGATGGAGCCCCGCATCGGGCTCCCTGATCGGCGGGGAGCCTGCTTCTCCCTCTCCCACTCCCCCTGCTTGTTGTGTTCCTGCTCTCGCTGTCTCTGTCTGTCAAATAAATAAATAAATAAAATCTTAAAAAAAAAAAGATGCAAAGATAAAACTCTAAAACATGTTAAAAATTTAAAAAAATATAACCAATAACATCAGTAATTTTTAATTATGTGCTGTGACTCAAAAAGCAGAGATCAATGCCCTCCATCTCCTCTATTTTAATCTTTATTTTTTTTAAAAGATTTTATTAATTTGAGATAGTGTGAGAGAGAGAGAGCACAAGCAGGGGGAGGGGCAGAGGGAGTGGGAGAAGCAGACTCCCCACCGAGCAGGGAGCCCGATGCGGGACTCGATCCCAGGACCCCGGGATCATGACCTGAGCCAAAGGCAGACGCTCAACGACCGAGCCACCCAGGCGCCCCATCTCCTGTATTTTAAAAATATGCATAATAAAATACAAAAGCAAAGTCCCATGTTTGCAATATGCTATGTCTTTTGTAAAAAAGAGAAGGAAATATGAATATATGTATATTCTGTTCATATTTAAAAAAAAGAAATGGCAGATAAACCAAAACAAATATTAAGTTATTACCTATAGAAAGCCAGAAATAGAAGGGAGAGGGATGAAAGTCAGACTCCTCTGAATGTATCTTGATATAGATCAGTGTCATTAGAGAGATTAGATGTAACCTAAAAAGTTAAATTTGAGTTAAAAATATCAGTAGGAACTCCTAACTCTGCCTACTGAAAAGGCCTAAAAGCAATGACATCCCAAGACTTCGGATCCGAGGTACCAGGTGGCAGGGGAACGGGTGTTCACATTAGTACTCTATTTTTCTAAATATTTGAATATTTTTAAAATAAATAGTTGGGAGGGAAAAGAAAGAACAATGGGCCATTCTGGTTCCAGATCACGGCAGAGTCGTTTACATGGACTAATCCACCTGCAAGTAACAATGATCAGCCCAGGAAAAAATACAAAATAACAAATATGAAGGCAGTGAAGAGAAGAGAAACCGCAGGGACCGGATGCTTTGCAAGGAGGATGGGTCTTAGGTGAGATCCACATTTCCGTACAGCTTTTCCAGCCCAGGACGACCGGCTGCAACTCGGGCAGAAAGCCGCAGTGTTTGTGGCCTGAGGAACCAGAAAAGGGACGCTGAGGGGAGAAATTCTGAAAGAGCCGCCATGGGGAGAGCCAGGTCCTTGGCTAGCCTGCACAGCGCAGTGAGGGCCCGGCCGTCCAGAGGAAAGCAACCACGAGAAGGCGGACAGAAACACCGGTTTTAGCTGCTGCTCGACAGAACGGCAAACTCGTGCCATGTCACCTCCCCAAACCTCTGCACCAAGAGGCCCCGTCCCAAGGATGGTCCTCGCCCCTCTCAAATGCCTGCCTGGGGAAGCTCAAGGCTGCCAGGGAAACCCACCATCTGCGGACAGAGACCCTTGACCACCCTTTCTGTGAGCATTTCCTCAAAAGGGCTGACAGGCGCCAATCCTCCCCGTCCCTTTGAGATGTGTATGTTTCTCCCGCTGCTCAGGAGTATGTCTCGAGGGCCTGAAAGCCGAGACTGCCACCTGGAACCTCCTTCCTCAGCCGGCAGGCACCGACCAGTCCTTAGTGGCCCTCATATACCTGGAGCCCCTCCCCTCCTCTTCCTTGGTCTTTCCTCAAAATGCTCGGCCCCCTCTGCCCTTCCGCAGCTCCTGCCCCTACTCCTGGGCAGCTAATGCTCTAGCGAATGTCTGCCTTTGTTTGTCCTTGGCACCCATCACTGGGAAACAGTCAGCAGTGGGAGTCTGGCCAAATTCACTAGGCTCAGTAGGCACTGCAGGCTCTCCAGGGAAACCCCTGACGTGCCACGCCTGCGAACTCCAGACCTCACTCCTGGACAAACACAATGTGCTCTAGCAAAAGCAAACAGGGGCTTGAAGAGGATAAACCAAGCCTCCCAGACGGTGGATGCAGCGAGTGACTGAAGCGTAGGTCAACACTCTCTACCGCAGCTGCAATATCCCGTGTAGCAGTTACTAGCCGTGCAGAGATGAAAATCTGATGTGTGGCCAAGGACAAAAGCAGTATGTAGAAGTGACGCAAGACCGCCCAGAAGTTGACATGAACAGGCAAGGATGTCAAAGCAGCTGTGAGAAATATGCTGAACAACTTAAGGACAAGATGGTTGTAGTGAGTTTGTGTGTTTACTAAGGAGGAGAGTCTCACTTAAGAAATGGAAACTCAAAAAAAAAAAAAACTGGAAAAGCTAATTCCTGAACTAAAAAGTAAAACGTACAAAAAAAAAAAATGTTACTAGTGGCGTGCTTACTACTCCTATTCAACATCGTACTGGAGGCCCTAGTCAGTATAACAAAGTAAGAAGAAGGTTGTCAGCAAGACTGGAAATGAAGAAAGAAAATTGTCTCTATTTACAAACAGTATCTCCATAGAAAATCCTAAGGAACCTACAAAAAAATATATTAGAACTAGTAAGTGGCTCTAACAACGTTCCAGGGTACAAAGGCATATAGTACATTCAATTGTACGTCTATAGTCCAGCAATGAAAACTGGAAATTTAAATTAAAAAAAAGCACTATTTTCAACAGTGTCAAAAAACGGGATTACTTAGGAATGAACCTAACAAAATACATGCAAAATGTGTGTGTTGAAAGGTACACAAACTGATCAAATAGATCAAGGAAGGCCTTTAATGCCAGTATACTATGTTTCTGCATTAAGATTTTGATTTTTCCCACAATGATCTATAAATATAACTCAGTTCCAGTAGGAACTGAGAAATCAATGAACTATGAAATTCTTATTGGAAAGGCAAAGGAACTAGAATGGCCCAAATAATTCTGGAAAAGAACAACATAGCTGGAAGACTCATACCACCTGATTTCGAGACTTACTAAAAAGCTACAGTAATTAGAATTGTGCTACTGGAGAAAGCACAGACAAAAACCAATAGAACAGAAACAGACCCACACATATGCGGTCATTTGAGTCTCAATAAAGGCACAAAAGCAATTGGGTGGAGATTTTTAGTTGAGGGTAGTTTTTAACAAATGATACTAGAACAATTAGTTATCTGTATGCACAAAAGTTAACTTTGATCCATCCTTCATTCCAGATACAAAAATTCACTCCAATGGTCCTATATCTAAATGTAAAATATAAAACTATAAAATTTCTAAAAATACATGGGGGAAATCTTTGTGACTGTGGGTTAGGCAAAGATTTTAGATATAACACCAAAAGTATAATTTGTACAAGCAAAAATTGATAAACTGGACTTAATCCAAATTAAGAACTTCTGCTCATTGAAAGACATTGTTAAGAGAAAGAAAAGTCATAAACTGGGAGAAAATATTTGCAATCACATCCAACAAACAACTTCATCCACAATATATAAAGTGTAAAAACTCAGTAACAGAACGACCAACTAGAGAAATGGACAGATCCAAACAAACATTTGACCAAAAGAGTGGAAGGATGGCAAACAAGCACACAGAAAGATAATTAACACACATTCATCATTAGAAAATGCATATTAAAACCACAACAAGATACTACTACACACTAAACTAAACATTACCAGAATGGCTGAAATCTAAAAAAACTGACCACATCACGTGCTGGTGAGGATGCAGAGCAACTCGACATTTTTTTTTTAAGATTTTATTTTTAAGTAATTTCTACACCCAACATAGGGCTCAAATTCACAATCCCAAGGTCAAGAACCCCGATTATAGGTGCCCTGCAGCTAGAACTCTTACACATTGCTGATGGGAACCCATAATGGTATCCTCACTGTGGAAGATCTTCTCATGAAGTTAGACAGATAATCCAAGCCTATTTATCCATGAAATGGAACTTGTGTTCACACAAAAACCCGTCTGCAAAGGTTACAGCAGCTTTATTTATAATCTCCCCAAACTGGAAACAACTCAAAGGGCCTCCAGCTGGTGACAGTACAAACAATCTGCATATTCATACAATGGACAATGACTCAGCAGTAAAAAGGAAGACATCGTGATTCACGCAACAACCCCTGGCGGGCAGGTCTCAAATGCATACACTAAGTCAGGGAAGCCAGACGCAGAGACTCCGTCCTACTGCATGATTGCGTGCGCACATTTCCATTTTTACGACATCCTGGAAAAGGCAAAGCTAACAGGGAAGATAAAGATCAGTGGTTGCAGGGGATTTGGAGAGGGGCAAAGAAAGGAGTACAAAGGAGTATAAGGTAATGGAGGGGTGACAGACTGCTCTCTACTCTGATTGTGGTGCTGGTTATAGGACTGTATGCATTTTTCAAAATGGCACAGAATTCTACATGAAAAATGATCAGTTTACCATATATAAATCATACCTCAATTTAAAAAATAGTTTATGGGTTAAAAAAAAGAGGGGCGCCTGGGTGGCTCAGACACTTAAGCGTTTGACTCTTGGTTTTGGCTCAGGTCATGATCACAGGGTTGTGAGATCGAGCCCCGCTCTGGGCTCTGCGCTCAGCGGAGAGTCTGCTCAATATTCTCTACTTCTTCCCCTTCCCCCACTTGCATTCGCGGGCACACACACACACTAAATAAAATCTTAAAAAAAGATGTGAAGCAAACATGGCAAAATGTTAAA